GGCCAAATTCAGTTTGGATACAGCCCTCAAGAAAGATGCCTGTCCCCTTGGTACAGAAATTCAATTTCTATAGCTTCCAGGAAGACACTCCAAATATTTCGTGTTCAAAAGCATAGAAAATGGGACCAAAGCAACATTTTATAGTAACTTTTTTCACTTTCTTTCTATTCCTGCCCTTGACATCTTTTTTTCCCTCTTTTTTTTTTTAAATTTATATTTTTCATTCTAATCCCAGTCCCCCCTCCCTTCTTTCCTCCCACTCACTCCACGCTCTCCTCCCATCTGCTCCATGGAGAGGGTAAAGCCTCCCATAGAAGTCTACTAAATCTGTCCCATCATCTAGTTGAGGCAGGACAAAGGCACCTCTCCACCCCCACACCCGTGTGTCTAGACTGGGCATGTTATCTCTTCATATAGAATAGGCTCCACTAGTCAGTTTGTACATTAGTGTTAGGTCTTGGACACACTGTCAGTGGCCTTATATATTGTCCCAGTGGCACCATTGTCAGCTATTCTAGTTTGGTCTTATGCAGATTCCCCATTTGTCAGACCTGAGTTGGTAATCTCTCACTAGCTTGGGTCAGCTGATTCTGTGGGCTTCCCCATCATGGTCTTGACTCTTTTGTTCTTTCCCTCACTTTGAGTGTGCTCCAGGAGTTTGGCCCATTGGTTAGTTGTGGATTTCTGCATCTGCTTCCATCTGTTTCTGGAAGAGGGCTCAAGCTTCTCTGGGACTATGGATTGTAGGCTGGATACCATTTGCTTTATTTCTGGTATCCACTTACAAGTGAGTATATACTATATTTTTCTTTCTGGTTTTGGGTTACCTCACTTAGGATAGTTTTTTTTTTTTTTTTAATTCTAGTTCTGCCCATTTACCTGTGAATTTTAGGATGTCATTATTTCTTACCATTGAGTAGTACTCCATTGTGTAAATATACCACATTTTCTTTATCCATTCTTCAATTGAGGGACATCTAGGCTGTTTCCAAGATCTATCTATTACAAATAATGTTGCTATGAACATAGTTGAGCAAATGTCCTTGTGGTGTGAATGTGCCTTCTTCAGGTATATATGTCCAACAGTGGTATTTGCAGACTTGAGGTAGGTTGTTCCTTAATTTTCTGAGAAATCGCCATACTGATTCCAAAGTGACTATACAAGTTTGCACTCCCACTAGCAATGGAGGAGCATTCCCCTTTTTTCCACATCCTCTCCAGGATAAGCTGTCATTGGTGTTTTTGATTTTAGTCATTCTGATCAGTTTAAGATGGAATCTCAGAGTGGTTTTAATTTGCATTTCCCTGATGACTAAGGATGTTGACCATTTCCTTAAGTGTCTTTCTGCCATTTGAGATTCTTCTCTTGAGAATTCTCTCTTTAGATCTGTACCCCATTTTTAATTGGATTATTTGGTAGTTTGATTTCTAGTTTCTTTTTTCCCAAACCTTTACACTGAGGTAATGTCTGTCTGTGAGTTTGAAGTGTGTTTCATAGCAAAAAGACATATTCTGCTTTCGTATCAAATCTGTTAGCCTTTTTTTTTTCTAAATAGGTGAAATGAGACCAATAATATTAATGGATATTAATGACCAGTGATTTCTAGTTCCTGTTATTTTTGTTTTTGTTGTTGGTGATGGCATTGTCTGTTAAATTGTCTTTGGGTTTTGTTGCTGTAAGCTCATCTATTTCCTGTGTTTTTGTGGATATAGATGATTTCCTTGGATTGGTGTTTTTCTTCTAGTAATTTCTGTAGGACTGAGTTTGTGGATAGGTATTGTTTCAATTTGGTTTTATCGTGGAATATTTTGTTTTCTCCATCTATGGTTATTGAAAGCTTTGCTGGGTAAAGTAGTCGGTGCTAGTCGAGATTCCTTAGTGTCTGCATAACCTCTGACCAGGACCTTCTGGCTTTCATTGTTTCCCCTGAGAAGTCATGTGTAATTCTGAAAGGTCTGCCTTTATATGTTACCTGGCCTTTCTCCTTTAATATTCTTAATATTCTTTCTTTGTTTTGTATGTTTATTGTTTTGATTATTACGTGACAAGGGAACATTTTAGGGGGGGTCTAGTCTATTCTGTGTTCTGTAATCCTCTTGTATTTTCACAGGGATGTCTTTCTGTAGGTTGGGGAACTTTTATGATTTGTTGAATATGTTTTCTGCGCCCTTAAGTTGGACTTCTTCTCCTCCTTCTATCCCTATTATTCTTAGGTGTGTCTTTTCATGGGGTCCCAGATTGCCTGCATGTTTTGTGTTAAGGATTTGTTGGATTTAAAATTTTCTTTGACCGATGAATCAATTTCCTCCAAGTTATCTTCAGTGCCTGAAATTCTGTCTTCCATCTCTTGTATTCTGTTGTTTATACTTGTATTTGTGTTTCCTGATCGTTTACCCAGATTTTCCATTTCCAGAATTACCTCAGTTTGTGTTTCCTTTATTGCCTCTATTTCAGATTTCATGCCTTGAATTGTTTCCTTCACTTGTTTGATTGCTTTTTCTTGGTTTTCTTTAAGGGATTTGTTGATATCTTTCAATTTTTTGTTTGTCTTTTCCTCCATTTAAGAGAATTCTTCATTTCTTCTTTAAGGGCCTCAATCATCCTTATAAAATTATTTTTTAAGTCCTCTTCTTCTGCTTCATCTGTGTTGGGATGTTCAGGTCTTGTTGTAGCACCACTAGTTTCTAGCGGTCCCTATTGCTCTTTATATTGTTGAGTGTATTCTTACCTTGTTGTCTATGCATCTCTTCCTCAAATCGATATAGGTGGAGCTTGTGCTTCAGGAGTTCTCTCTTTCTCCAGTTGGTGTAGTTGGGGACTGTGGCTCCCTTGACTGATCCTTCAGGTCCAAGCAAAGAAGAGCTTCCGGTGAACGCTCCTCCTGGTGGAAGTGGGCCCAATGCTAGGTGGTCACTCCTTGAGGTGCAAGTGGGGCTACAGCTCCTGTGAATGTTCCTTCTGTTGAAGATGCAGATGAGGCTGAGTCAATGTAGTACTGGGGTATATCCCACTGAGAAATGGCAGTGGATGCTAGCTGGGACACAGGTGTTCTTTCCCAGAGAAACTTTTTGCAGTAGTTTCTGGAAGCTACTGCTGGAACGCATTGCTGCTGTTTCCACCTGGTGATCACTTCTTGCTCCTGGGGCTGAGGGTAGGGCCTCCTTCTAATACTGCACCAGTCCTGAAGCTTGAGCCTTTCTCTGATGCTGTTTCCAGGATGGGTTTTGGGTTTCTCATTGATGATGCTCAGGGCCTGTAGCTTGAAACTACCTCCAACACTGCTCCTGGGTTTTCATCTGGGACATCCCTCTGACACTGCTTCTGGTTCTGGACACATGGCTCCCTTGATGTTGCTCCAGACATGAATGAAGCTCAGGCCTTCCTCTGATGCTGCTTCTAGGCTGGAATTCGGGTTTCTCACTGATGCTGCTTCTGGGCTCTGACCGACCCCTTTTCTTTACAGATCTAAGTCAATTCTGTGGAGGGTGAGGATGGGAGGATGATGGGTTCTCCCAAAGTCAGAAACATGAGAGCTATTGATTGGGTTCTCCTCAGTTGAATGAGCTGGTAGATCTTAGAATTAAAACAGGTTGTTTTTCCTTTTAAGTTTATTTGTAGTAGTTTTAATTATGTGTAGGGGTGTATGTATGTGTGTGTGTGTGTGTGTGTGTGTGTGTGTGTGTGGCGGGGGGGTTGGCGGGTGTGTGTGTGTATGTGTAGGCTAGAGCATTGGACCTTCAGAACTGCAGTTATAAGCAATTGCAAGCCACCTAACGTGCATGCTGGGAACTGAATTGAGGTCCTCTGGAAAAGCAAGTGCTCTTAACCACTGAGTCATCTCTCCAGCCCCTCAACACTGATGCTTAATCAGCGTTTCTTGCGAAATGCAAGAAAGTTCATAGGTAGTCTTCTGTGGTTCATTAATTTTTTGGAAAAACACAAGATTTGGGATTATATGTATTCTCTAAAGAGTCTCAAATTCTAAAATAAATTTCAGACTGTTCCACTTCAAATTATTTAAAAGATATACTTCTCATCAAAGTTAAGTCTTATTAGAGATGGGGAACCACTAACTAGAAAGAAGACAAATGATTATAATGTGTTGAATCATGTACAATTGTCATAGTCGTTGTCTTATGTCATATAACTTCCATTGCCTTCAGTAATTTTTTGTGTGTTAAGATGTGATGGATGGTACTCACTTCAGGAATGTAGGCTTAGTTCAGCAGTATCTATTCAAATTTGCATTTAAGCATACATATTCATTTCATAAAGGTAGTTGTTCTGATATTTGTTGCTTTCTTTATTCTATAATGTTAACAATGCCTTTGGGCTTATGCAGTTTTGAGTTATTCTCTATTCTTTAGTATTTCTCTGAGCACACTGTAGTGCAAGAATGCTGAATAGGTTCCAGTTATTCATTAACTCCCATTGTTGGTTAGGCTTTGGTGGAGAAGTTCTTTAATGTGCTTTAATTCTTAGGCCCTGTTTTGATTAGGCATACAAAGTGCACTCAGTGAGTCACCATGCTACCCTATCTTTGTGTCTACTACACACACAACAAGACTTAGTGATGGAGTTCAGTGGTCTATTAATTACCTTGATTTAATCAGAATTTCTTTGTTGTAGCCTTAAATCTCTATAGAATGATGGTTTATGTAGTTTTTGTTTGAAGCTTTGTGGCATGGATTGGAGTATAACTCATCAGCGGGGCACTTGCGCATCATGTGGAAGGCTTTCTTACACTACCAAAAAGCTTAAAAATAAAAGGAAATCTGGGGTTAAGAGAACTAAGTTTTACCATAATCTCTATCTTAGAGGTATGTGGATACAGCAACAGTACAGTTTATCTTAATGTTTCTTTTTTTTTTTTTCTACTTTTAGTTGGTTTTGGTTTGTTTCTTAGTTTTTACTGTCTTATTTTCAAAAACAGAATACAAAGGAAGAAATGATAAAAACCAAATGAGGAAACACTAAAACTCTTCTTTTTCTTTTGTAGGTTGCTCTCTGATTCTCAACAGTTGGATATTTTAAGAAAAGCAAGGTCTTACATAAAACAAGAAAAGTTTGATGAAGTAGTAAGTTGATGGGCACTGGGGTCAGGGCAGGGTGAGCTATCTGTGGGACCCCAGGCAGGCTAAGGGGTTCCCTGAGGAAGGCCTTTAGGCTCAGACATGCTTCTCCTTACTTCAGATCATAAATGGCTGCAGTTTTCTGATTTGGTTTTAGAAAGGAACTGTAGGAACTGTATTGCTTTTTTTTTTTAATGAAAAAAACAAACAAACAAATTTCAAGTAACCATCACCCTCTTAGGAAGTTCAGAGAACCCTATTTGCCATTTACACCACAACATTCATAACAAAGCTTTGACTCTAGCTGCCTCTACCCAACTGTTTTTCTGTATTGTACTGTATTGTATTTTCATCGGGGGTTTGAAAATAAGGTTCTGTGTGTGCTAAGAAAGTACTCTACCACTGAGCTGCATCCCCAGCCCTATTTCATTTATTTAATTTATCAATTTGTTTACTTTTTTTTTTTAGACAGAGAATTGCAGTTTCCCAGGCTAGTCTCAAACTTGCAACTGTCTTACCTCAGCCTTTAAAGCAGTTTGAAATACAGACATGTGTCACCATGCCTCACTAAAAATTCTACTTCCATCTTTAAAAATTGTCTAAATACTTACCATCTGTATATTTGTAATTTTTTTTTTTTTTTTTTTTTTGGTTTGTTGAGACAGGGTTTCTCTGTGTAGCTTTGGAGCCTATCCTGGCCCTCCCACTGGAGACCAGGCTGGCTTCAAACTCACAGAGATCCACCTGCCTCTGCCTCCCGAGTGCTGGGATTAAAGGTGTGTGCCACCAAAGCCTGGCTTTATATTTGTAATTTTAAAATATGATTTTAAATTTTAAGCTTTTCCTTGATAGTGTGTGAACCCAAGGCCTCTCATATGTTAGGCAAGTATTTTACTACTAAACTATGTCCCCAGCTCACTAAACTATTCTTCTCTTCGAACATACTGTTATTTTGGTGATGCTTTATAGTAGATTTGCATAATGTGATATGGAAGTAAAATATAATGCATATGCACACATGCTTACATATGTATATACATATGGGCTTTTTCATTATTTGGAATATATGCTAGAGAACCTTCATTTCATCTGTGTGTCATCTGAGGACCATTTTGCATAGTGAATTACTTTCAATCACCACATAGATCACAGACAGTTTCCATTAAAATGCCCTAGCTTCTCAAATTGAAAAATTTGTTTTATTTTGAGGGTTTTTTTTTTCATGTTTTTAAAGATTCTCACAGTTGAAATCTGTTCCTAATCCTCTCATCCATAGTTATTCACTCCAGTCTGCTTAGAGGTTTGGTTCTATGGAAGGCCAGTTTTCCTTAGTTTGGGGAACTTGGCTTTTATTGTTTCACTGCAAGTTCTACTTATGTTTTGTCCCCATAGGTCTCCCTCTGTGAGGAACTGATTGACCTTGCATTGAAAGGATTGTCCTATTATCACACTTATGACAGATTCTTTTTGGGCATCAGTGTTGCAAGTGGTTTTGTGGGATGGACATCTTATGCTTCTTTGTTAATCCTCAAGTCTCATTCTAATTTCACAAGAAGTTCTAGGAAGGAAGTTAAGGTAAGTTCAGAAGATGTAACAAAGATTCGGGTAATGGTATCAAAGTCACCAGGAGTAAGGACTAAGAAACCGAACCAAAACATGTATAATGTGTTCTTAGAATGTGAAATTGTAAGAGTAAATGAACAGATGTGTCTGTCCTTTGCTTTCTTTGTATTGCTGTGTTTTCTGTTGTGTCTATTTTTTTCAGTGGCTAAGAGGGTACATTGATAACACTGCTCTGTAACTTAAGAGAAGCATAGTCTTAATGATACTGAGTTTCTGTTTTTTTTTTTTTTTTTTAAAAAACTACTCAATTTAAATATTTCACACACTTCTAGAATAGGATATTAGCAAAGGACTCTAGGGCCTGGAGAGATGGCTCAGAGGTGAAGAATGCTTATTGCTCTTGTTGAGGACCTGAGTTTGGTTCCTGGTGCCTGTATCAGGTAGCTCTCAATCACCTGTAACTCCAGTTCCAGGGAATCCGATGGCCTCTGGCCTCCCCAGACATCTGATTACACATGACACATAAATTCATGCAGGTACACACACAATAGTAAAATAACAATAAATAAATCTTTTAAAAACAAAAGAAAACCCCACTTCAAGCCAGGCATGATAGAGCACAGCTTTCATCATAGTACTTAGGAGGCAGAGGCAGGTGAATTTTTAAGTTTGGGGTCATCCTTGTCTGGAGAGTATGTTCTAGGCAAGCCAGGGCTACACAGGAAACCCTGTCTCAAAAAACCCAGAAAAAAACCCAAACCAGTCCAAAGTGGTATATTTATAGTTATCTCATATTAATAGCTAGACAAACAATAAAATCATTGTTTAAACATTAATAAAAATTCAAGTAATATTTATGTTTCTTTGACTTTATTCTTACTTCAACTTTCTTACTTATACATTTCCAGAGTGTTCTTTACTTTGTTTTCAGAATGCAAGCCTAGCTTAATGCTCTTTCAATGAAAGGAAGAGGTCAAACTTCTAAACTAGTGGTTTTCACCCATCCCAGTGTTGTGATCCTTTAATGCAGTTCTTCATGTTGTGTGACCCCAACCATAAAATTATTTTCATTGCTACTTCATAACTGTAATTTTGCTACCGTTATGAATTATAATGTAAATATCTGTGTTTTTCAATTATCTTAGGTGACTCTTGTGAAAGTGTCCTTCTACACCTCAACGGGGTCATGACCCACAGGTTAAGAAGCATTGTTCTAACCAGAGACTGTAACAGTGCATACATGGTTTTATTGCTTGAAAACACTCTGTTATCTTAAAGTGTATTGCTGACTGTCATTTACCAGGCAGAGTATCCTCCTCCATTTCCTTTGCTTCATTCTCTGTAATGATTATTACCATGTCCAAATCCAATATATTTTTAGTAATAATAGTCTGTAAACATTTGTAATGGTAACTTTTACCATTTTATATTTTGTTTTTATTGTAGGGAAGAACATTATTGCTTAATTTTGAGTTTTTACAGTTCTGTAACACATCTTAAATAATTTCTTCCAAGTAATTTTAATTATTTCAATGTATTTGAAGTTGGCTGTAAAGGAAATTATTTCCTACTTGTTAGAGAAATACACAAATAACTAAGTTTTGGTAATGGAGAGTTGTAGCTAGGAATTCTACTGAGTCCTTGAAATGTATACAACCATCTTCGCCTCTAACTGTGCACTGTAACTTCTGTTTACCAAAGATGAGACTGAGCTGAGGGGAATTAACTAACTTTGTAACAGCCTCCCAGTCAGGATGCAGGGGACTGAGATCTGGGCCAAAGACTGCTTTTTTCCTCTTGCTGTTCAGAACATTTCAAAAAAAAAATATGATGTTTTCTTAATGTGCTAAGAATTTATAGTTTGTAGTTCTTTTTGTTTATTAGTTTGATAGTGCAGTAAGTATTTAATTGAGTATACAGTACAATGTTCTGTATGCTAGGTGTTCTACAGAGAAATATGACATCCAGATTTTACCATGAAAAATGTTGGTATTAAATAAAGTAGATAAGAAACAAACACAAATGGCCATCCTACATGATATTGGTGACACATTTCTTGTGGTATTGATTGAGAGATTTCTATGATTGCTGAGACTAATGCAAAGAAGAATTAAAAATAAAATGATAGCCATCATTTAGTAAGCAGCAATAATGTTCTAGCTCCTTTGTTAAGCCCTATGAATCTGATTTCTTATTATGGAGAAATATGTATGCATTTATTGTTCCCATATTATGAAGAGAAGAAAATTTTGTCTAAGGAAAACGTTGTACTTTGTACTAATCCCTCCCACTTAGTTGTTGATCAAGTAAACAGACATGCCCACAAGCAAATATGATGGAAACAGTTCCTCACTTGAAGTTTCCTCTTCCAGGTGTGTACAGTTGACAACCGAGGACGTCCATCACGATGTCATAGCCAGTTTATGAACTTGAACCTTAAGCTCTTAGTTATAATGCTGGGTTTCAGCCTCCTTTTACATTGATATCCCAAATTATCCTTGATTTTTACTTCATGATATTCTGGGCAGTAGAGGAAAACATCAAAAGAGATGGGAATTATTTAAAATTTCTTCCTAAATTTGTGTATTTCCAGAGAAAGGTTCTTAATTCCTACTACATTTACCCTTGTCTAACAGGCTGAGGAAGCAGAAAACATGGAATGGAGACAAAGAGCTGCCTTTTCACCACCCCCATTCCTTTCTTCTTTCTTAATAGCTTCTGAAGGTGCTCACTGTACTCTGTACCATTTTGTAACCACTGCTTCAGACACTGGAACTTTAGTTCTTAGCATTATTATGTTCCCTTAAAGGCACCCCTTTCCCTGTTCTTGGACTGTGTGTTCCTTACCCTTGCACTTACACCTGTCCCAAGAGGCCTTGGTAGTCTGTGAAGCTGGCATTAGTGACTTATGTGTAGTGAATTTTTTATTTAACAGGTGGTTGAGAACATTAGCTATAACTGAAGGAGCCAACTAACTGTTTAGGTGTAGTGGGAGAGAGGCAAGTGGTCAGCATGGCAGGGTAGACCTTGAGTAGAAAGAAAGTTTATTTCCAAAAGAGAAGTAGATTATTATGTGATAATGTAAGCTAGCCACAGAAGCCAGTCAAAATTTAGAAAGACTGTTTCTATGCGGAACTATATGTTAAAAGTTCTGAATGAGTTATTTACAAACCAACTTTAGGACCATTACCAGTCTGCAGCTGAGAATTGCTTGATGGTAACCATTCTAGGATATCTAGTTTCTTTCCTGATATGCTCTCACCCTCAAATGATAGATTTTTTTCATTCTGAAAGAATTCTGATTAATCATCTAGTTGAAGAAACATAGGAAGAAAAAAATTTCCCTTTATAAAATATAAAAAACTATCAATTGGCATGGATTTGGATGTATTTGAATGTTGTGTTTCATTTTCAGAAGCCACACTATCTCTTGCTGTGTAGCTTTGTTGCTATCGGTGTTTTAGTGGTGTGTTTCCTGCTGATCCAAGTCTGTCCCTGGACTTACTACGTGTATTGCTTGCTGCCAGTACCCATATGGTATGCAGTTCTAAGAGAGTAAGTAGCATGTCTTTCTGCCTTATTTTCCACTTCACTGGCAGTGAAATCTGCATTTAAAATGCATTAGATTTTGTAAATGAACTTTTCTTGGGGCCGCCAGCTCACAAAAAAACAACATGGAGACTTATTATTAATTATGAAAGCTTGACCTATAGCTTAGACTTGCTCCTAACTAACTCTTGTAACTTAAATTAACCCATTTATATTAATCTGTGTTTTGCCATCTGGATTTTTTACTTTTCTTTCATTCTGTATGTCTGACTCCCTCCATATCTCCTTGGCATTTTCCAAAAACCCCATACTTGTCCTCCACCAAAACAGAAAAAGCTGTGCCACTCAAAACTCTTCTTTATCTCTTCCAGATGACCTCTGATACTCTCTGATTACTTTCTGTCAACTAGTTGCTAACTCAGCCTCCTAACCCAAGGTTAATTTTATTTAATAAATGCAAATGCAAACCAGAGTTAACAGTGTGATTGAATATTCCCCAACAAGTTTTCTGTAGCGTAAATCATAAAAGATGGCTATAATTCTCTCAAATGTCCGAACGCTCTCATTTTGTTTTCAACTGCATAATGTTAAATTTTAAACATCCCTTTTGGCTTACCTTTTTGACTTCACTTGTATTGCCTTAAGGAAGCAGTGCCCCTGTAGTACAAATAATAAAAAAACTGGAGACAGATATTGATGTTAAAGCTAGAGATCAGAGAAGTAAAATAGCCAGTCACTAGCTCTTACCTCTACCTCAGACTGGGAGGGCAATCCTGGCCTCAGATTGTATTTCCATTCAACTGCTACTCAGATTCACTGAGGTTGAATGCAGAAAATGAATGCTGAATCCCACATGAGAAAGTCCCTGAGCTCCTGTCTTATACACCTCTCTAGGGCTGGGAATAAAGGCATACACCACCAATGTCCTGCCTCTATGGCTGACTAGTGTGGCTGCTGGGATTAAAGGTGTGTGCCACTCCTGTCTGGCCTCTATGGCTATGGCTAACTTTGCATTCTGATCTTCATGCAAGCTTCATTAGATCATAAGTAATAATAAGTAAGATCATGGTGTAAAATTGGTTTTCTTATTACATTCAACTGGAAAGGAAGGCACTCGTTCAGGTTTCAAACACTTTTAAGAGCATCTTTGAGATGGCATAACAGGCTGGGTGTGATAGTGCATGCCGTGATCCCAGTACTGGGAGATAGAAGCAGGAGGACCTGGATTTTCAGGTCTGGGCTCTATAGGAAAAGACTTTCTAAAAAAATAAAACCATGGCAGCTGGCTAGCATGTGGGTCCTGACACTATATATTTTTATTCTAATATTTATTGATTCTGTCCTTGATTATTCTATCTTCTAAAAATATGGTTTAAAAATATTGAGATAGTAAGGGCTGGAGAGGTGGCTCAGATGTTAAGAGCACTGGCTGCCCTTCCAGAGGTCCTAAGTTCAATTCCCAGCAACCACATGGTGGTTCATAACTATTTATAATGAGATCTGATGCCCTCTTCTGGCCTGCAGGCATACATGTAGGCAGAACCCTGTATACATGATAAATAAATAAAACTTTAAAAAAATTGAGATATTAAAATATAAGAACTAAAACATGTAAATGCCTCAAATATCTTTAGATATAAGGAAAAAAAGTCACTGATCAAGGAATACACTATGACATTACCATCTAAAAGGAGTAAGGCTATTGGTTTGCTTAGTTAGCTCATAATTGGCTTTTTGTTTGTTTGTTTGTTTGTTTGTTTTTCCTGACATCATTTCTCTGGTTTCACAATTTTCTAAAAGGTTTTCTAGGCTGGAAGAAAATTCTGCTCTACTATAGAGCCCCTTCTGAATTATTAAATAGCATAATTGTAGAGATAACATATGTATGTTTAAATTTTAAGGGAAGATTTGATTTTTCAGTATGTTTTATTTTACCCTTTTAATAAATGGAAAATAAAACATAAAAAGTGAGTTTTCAAGCTGACTAGATGGCTCCATGTGTCAAGGCACCTGGGACCCAAGTGATAAAAGGAGTGAACAGATTCCTGCAGGTTCTTCTCTGACCTCCACATGCACACCATGGCATGCACATCCATATACATATACACACAAAATAAGTAAATAAAATTGGAATATTTAACCCTTTTTTTCTAGAATAAAAATTCTCCGAAATGACTTAATCTTTTGTGCTTCTTTGCTTATTCACAGTAGAAACAAAAGAGATATTGTCCTTGTGGTTCTGACTTTTCTTTCCTATGTGGCTACTTAGCAGTGTGATAACATTCCATTCTACAGCCATTGTTTTCAATCAGAAAAATGTCATAAACCAAATGACACTGGCCTTTTATAATTACCTACTTAATGCTCGACAAATGCTAAGCTTTTCTTCTTTGTGATGAAATGTAAAATGTACTCAAGTATGTAATGCATTTTTGGTGGTTATAAATTCTCAATTACAATTAGTGTACAATTAATGACATCTTAAATTGGGTTTGGAAAAGGTTATTTGGCTCAATTTAAAAGTGCAATTAAGCTAAGAGTAGTGTTGCATATCTGTAATCCCATCTCCTCAGAAGGCTAAGGCAGAAAAACTGGGGTTTTGAGGCCAGCCTGACTAAATAAAGTTTAAGTGGAAGGCCAGAGTTTTAGCTTAATATCAGATTGGTTGTCTGGCATGTGTAGATCCCTACCTAGGTTTAGTCCTTGGCATTGCAAATAAATGAACAAACAAACAAATAAATAAGTCAATAAATGCAATTAAGACTTTCCCTCCTAAGGCTGTGAATGTAGCTCAGTGGTAGATATAAGGTTTTCCAGGTTAGTTTCAATATTTTTTTTTTCAGTTTCTATACTTTTGGGTTATTATTTTCTTTCTGGATTATCTGTAATGCATGTACTTTTGTTTAAACTAACACCATTCAACAATACTTTATTGAGCCATGCAGTGGAGACATACACCTTTAATTCCAGCACTTGGAAGGCAGAGGCAGGCAGATCTCTTTTGGAGACCAGCTGGCCTACAGAGCTAGTTCCAGGACAGCCAAGACTACACAGAGAAATCCTGTCTCGAAAAACAAAACAAACGAGAGAGAGAGAAAGAGAGAGGGAGAGAGAGAGAGAGAGGGAGAGAGAGAGAGAGAATAGCTTATTGCCATTAACATTTATAAAAACTGAGCAAACGCTTGTCATCATTTTCCCCAAAATGCTTAAAGATTCCCACCAATAAAAGTAAGCAAAGCCATTGAGACAAATTGCTATGTTTTATCTTAAATTTAAAAAAAAATATGAATGGAAATTTCTGTAATTTTTTTTAGCTTTGAGCAGCTTTTATTTTTTCACTATGTTGATATTTTAAAGTGCTTTGCAAATTAGAAGTAATCTTTTTGTAAATCATCTCCTTAAACAGATATCAAGTTATTCAAGACCTGGTTGCATCACTGTTGACTTTTCCTCCGAGCCATTTCGTGGCCCACTTACTTGTCTTTATCTTGGGAATTGAAGTACTGGTGAGTTCCTGACTAGGCTGCATCTCCAAGTGTCTTGCATTTTCATGATACAGGTCTTAAGTGACCTTACTCTTCATTTTCTTGGCAATATGTCACCAGGTGTTAAGTTTCTTCTACCGCTACATGCTGACAGCTGGACTGATTGTGTTTGCGGGTTGGCCATTTCTCACTCAGCCGTGGACCCAAGCAAAGGTATAAGTACTCAATGTTCGCAGGACAGACTGGTAGTTACTTTGTGTTGATAATGTGTTTGATTCAAAGAATTTTTTATTGAATAAAGGAGTGGAATACACTGTCATATGAAGGGCCTGGTCCTTTGGACAGGAGGGCTGACATTAACTTTTGGTCTCTGATACACACACACAAACACACACACACACACACACACACACACACACACACACACACACACACACAGGTACGTACGTAATGTTTTTCTTGGAATGAGCCAGAGATCTAGAAAGGCTGTAAAGGCAGTGCTGGCTTGTTTGGAGCACTCGTGGAGCCTCCAGTACCTTCATGAGGGAGAAGTCTGGACACTGCTGAAAGCAGCAAAATGGACTAGAGGGTCTGAAGAGTAACTTCCCTTTGCCCCATCCACACAGTTCTTTCCTAGGGAAGTAGCATTAAGTGGATTCAATGGGTTTTAAAAGTTGGGAGGGAATTTGATAAAGTACATGTATGAAAATTTCTAACAATAAACAAACCCAAAGCAGATAGTAAATCTTATTTAAGGTAACCATATTTATAATGGTTGATCTTGACTGTTATCTTGATGGGATTAAGAATCCTATAGAAACAAGTCTCTGGGAGTGTCTGAGAGATTTCTAAAGTAGGTTAATCAAGGTGAAAAGTCCTCCCTTGAACTACTGGGACTAGTAGGGGGAAAAAAGAGAAGGCAAAGTGAGCAGCAACGTTGGTTCACTTTCTCTGCTTCCTGACGTGTTGCAGTGTGACCAACTGCCTCAAGCTGGTGCTGTCATGACTCCCCCTGCCATGATGGACAGTACTAGGAGGGAAAACAAATCCTTCCGTTGCTTCCTGCCATACATTTTGTCATTACAAAAGTAACTATTACTTTCCACAGTAAATACCAGACAGGTTTTGCTTTTTGTTTCACATTCATTTACTATATGGCATGCTAAAAACAGATTTCTATACCATATTTGTCTAAATATATTTTTTCCTTGATTCTAGATCACCTACCTGAGTTGGGCTCTCTTCTCTTTGCTTCTGGCAGTGTTCCCACTGATGCCTGTTGTGGGTAGAAAGCCAGATCTCTCTCTAGTGTACGTATATTATTGTTTTCCATTTCAGTAGAACTTATCCTCTACTGACACTATGACATTTAAAAACAACACCCCTCCTGCCCCGTCCTGTGTGTGTGTGTGTATGTGTGTGTGTAAGTGCGTGCATTGACAAATGGAAGTTTGTCCTATTTGAATTAAAATTTTTTCCCATAGGGGTAAAACTCTATTTATTTTGAAAGCTTTACAATTATTTTGTATTGTTCTTTTTTATTTTAATCTTAATTTTATTTTCTTAACATAATTCTTTGGGAAATTTCACATCAGACACTCCAGTCGTGTTCACTCCCTCCATATCTGCCCCTCACTCCTACAGCATACCCCCCCAAAGCGTTGGTGGCGCACGCCTTTAATCCCAGCACTCAGGAGGCAGAGGCAGGTGGATCTCTGTGAGTTCGAGACCAGCCTGGTCTACAAGAGCTAGTTCCAGGACAGTCTCCAAAGCCACAGAGAAACCCTGTCTCAAAAAAACCAAAAAAAAAAAAAAAAAAAAAAGATTAATTCAGAACAAACAAAAGAAAAACCCATCTCGATCTTCCATCTTTCCATCATTCATCCTAGTGGCATTGGGAGCTGCCATGTGTCACGAAGTATACATTTTGTTCAACCAGCCCTACCCACAAATGTTCATTGCAATGAGTCATTGATTTGGTTCAAGGCCTCTGACCTCTGGCATACCATCATCACTGGACCCTCACTGAAACTCCTCTGGGGTATCCTCTTGTTGTCCCCAGTCATAGGGATCCTGTGGTTACCCTTGCTTCATGCACAGCAGCAGGCCATAAATGGGGCTCATGTTAGGGTGGGCCAACTCAAAGTCTGGGATGTGGGTCTGGGTTGTAGCTGAGCTGGTTGGGGTCCACTGGGACTGCCTCCTTAGATGAGGGACTGAACCAGCGCTCCTAGGCCCATGCCAGTTGGGAGTGGTGTCATCTCTCCCAAGAGCTGGGGCAGCTCTCCTGTTGCAGTGTTCATGGGGGAGGGCAGAGCCATTGTTGTCTTATTTTGTTTTGTCTGCAGAACTAGAAATCAACTCCAGGACCTTGTACTTGCTAGAAAACTTTTCTGTGTTTAACCATTCAAATTGTATAAAATAAACCTATGTTTTACATATGTTCCCAAATGCTGATACATTTTTCCTCAATATGAAATAGACAAGTGTTAAAAATAATTGGTTACCTTTGCTTTTATGTTTTTAAGTTGTTTTTAGGTAACCTACTGGCACTCCTCCCCACCTCGTGTGTGTGTGTCCTTGTATGGCTGTGTGTACTTGACTAAATTATCTTTGTTTCATCTATCTGCTGCAGTTCCTTTCCCTGTATATGTAGCCCAGGCTGGCCTCTAACTCAAGTGTCCTGCCTCAGCCTTCTGAGTGCTGAGATTTAGGCAGGTATATCACCCCACTCCATTCTTTTTATTAATCATATACTCATCTTTGTTGCTTATATCTGAATGCTCTGGGCATTTTTTAAAAATGTGTTTTTTGAGACAGGGGTTCTCTGTGTATCCCTGGCTGTTCTGGAACTTGCTCTGTAGTCCAGGCTGGCTTTGAACTCAGAGATCCACCTGCCTCTGCCAATGGAGTGCTATGATTAAAGGTGTGGACCACTGCCTGGTTCACTATGGGCATTTTTTAAAAGCATTTTAGCCTCATAGTTAAAAGATGAGGAGGAGTATATCTTTTTTTTTTAACAGCAGGAAGATTAACTGAATATTTTAAGTGATTGTTAATTTAAGAATTCTTTTTATTATTTTTTAGTAAGCATTTATTCATTTACTTCTTGGCTACAGTTTCCCCTCTATCCTCTGTTTTCAACCCCCCCCCAAAAAAAAAACCCTTCTTCTCCCACCTCGGAATCCACTCTTACTCTGTTTAGAAAAGGACAGGTTTGCCATGAGTATCAACAAAACATGGGCATGTCAAGCACCTCTCTCTGTAGGAAGGCTAGTCATAGTGACCCAGTATGAAGAATTGGGTCCCAAAAGCCACTGAAAGAGTCAGAGACAGCCCCTGCTCCCACTGTTAAGAGTCCCACAAGAGGTCCAAGCTACACAATAATTTAAGAAATTCTTTACATTTCTTTGTTGGTTAGTTTTCCTGGTTTCTTACAACAAAACAACAAAACCAATGTGAGCTAGATCAGGAATTGTTTTAGGAATGTGGTTTATAAACAGAGCCCAATAATTGTACTGAATTATAAAACCCCAGCATCTAAGCTATACTTTCATATTACAGGATTGCTAAGTCAAAGTTTTGTAACTTTCATGTAGAATACATAACAAGTGAGAAAGTAAATTTTAATACTTTTATATATTTATACATTATTATGTAGATTGTCCTGTGAGTTCTTCTGGTGTCTCTGTAAGGCCCTTTTTTTCCTTCTATCAGCCACTGTCCATTTGTCCTGCTCAAGCAGCATTGACAGAGTTAGGGAAGTTATAATATGCTAAAAGGGGAATAAATCGCATAAACGATCTCCATAGAAATTTGCCACTTATGTATTCCACTAAAAACTGACTCAGAAAGCAAATAAACCTTCTAAAATGTGAAAATTCAAATTTGTGTTTCTGAAAATTATAGTGTTTCTCTCTAAACTTGATTTAAATTGCTATTAATGTTAAGTTCATGTTGGCATCCTGTGATTATATACAATTTATTTTATTCTTAGTTCATAGAGGAAGTTCTATTTCCATATGATCTCTCACAGCAATTCCATCCTCTAGATTACAGAAACAGATACATGAAACATTTAAGGATAAAACAAGAAGAGCAGATACATGTATAGTTAACACTCAGATTAGGTGAGCCAGTGTACTAAAGCAAGAGTGTTGCCAATAACTTAAGATGAATTTAAATTTTTGAAAGAAAGATAAAAGGCAAAAAAACAGCTATACAAGCTGTTTTCTTGAGTTTTATTATAATATGTCTTAAAGTGGTGATGTTTTTTCTTGTGACTCAGATTATTTGAAAAATTAAAGCAAATTTCAGTTGTTGTAGAATATTACTGTAAAATGTGTTACATTTGTTTAGGCTGTGGAACATTCTTTAATGATGCAAAGATGTATTGCATTCTTTTTTGTTGCATTTGTTTAACTCTATGAAGCTGTGTGACTTTGCCTGTCTAAAACACCTGAGTGGTCTAGTAAAGAGTTGAATGGCCAATAGTGAGGCAGGAGAAAAGATAGGTGGGAAATCTGGGAAGAAAGCAAAAGGGCAAGGAGAGGAGGATTTCAGGGGTCAGCCACACAGCCACACAGCCACCCATGGAGTAAGAGGGAAAGTAAGATATACAGAAGTAAGAAAAGGAAAAGGCCCAGGGGCAAAAAGGTAGATGGGATAATTTAGGTTAAGAAAAGCTGGTTAGAAACAAGCCAAGCTAAGGCTGGGCATTCATAAGAAAGAATAAGTTTCTGTGAGTGATTTATTTGGGAGCTGGGTGGCAGGCCCCCCAAAGAGCAAAGAGCCTGAAGAGTAAAAAAAAAAAAAAACAAAACAATCAACTTCAGTCAATCATGTTCTTGGTCTGTATCTAGTCATGCATTTACACTTGCTTATTTCTCTAACAAGCTCATTTTTCCTTAGTTCTTTTAGAGTTATAGATTATATCTTGAGCATATTTTCAGTTATATTACTCAGAGTTTTATGAAGAGAGTTAAAATTCTTTGACATTAGTTGCCAGTGACTTCAGTGACCAACTTTCTGATGGACTAGATAATAAAATTATCTATTTCATCATGTACAAGATGACTTGCATGGTTACATATCCCCCCCAATACCTTTGGGACTACTGCCCTACCTTACATCCATGCCAGCTGAGGGATAGCTGCTTGGCCTGATGGAGTGCTGTATTTTTCTCTGTGTGAATGAATTCTCAGAATCTGCATGGCAGATGATGACAATCATCTGTTTAGTTTTCTTTTATATTCTCTTCTGGGTATTTGCCTAGTTCAGATTAAGAAACATGGCAGTGGTGAATGAAAAAGAATGAATTGGAAAAATAAGGTAATAAGGTAAATATTCCAAAATTGTGGAATGTGGTTCCAAGTAGCCCTGCCATGGGCTTGTCCTGCTATTTCTCACCATTCCTCTGCCAGCTTTACTACCTCTTGTGGATTAATCAAAGTGTTTTAGAGTTCTACATTTAAGTGTCTCCTGTTTTAATATGCTGTCTTTAGTAAACTTCTTTAGAAAAGTTTTAATGTGAATTATATTTTGAAACAGAATGGGTGCAGGCTTGCTGGTTCTTCTGTTGGCCCTGGCTATTGTAACAGTTCTCACAAAAAGAAAAATTACTTTGGTAAAGGAGGAGCTGTTGGTACTTCTATTACAGGTCAGTTACAAATTTTCAATAGTATATCATACTAACCATATAATAAAATATCTTATTGTTATACTCTGTTACACCCCTGTGTTCCTATCACTCAATACTGTCACTTGAGAAATAAGTTTTCTGTTTAAGGTGGCACACAGAAATAAATATAAATAGAAAAAAGGTCAGCAAGAGGTAGCCTGGAGCAGCAGTTAAGGAGACTTTAGGCCATCTTTACTGACCAAAAGAGCTCTAAGTGCTTCCTGTGGACTGAGATTCCCTGCTTTGAAGTGGCAGCAGCTGGAATTGTTGACATGAAGGCAACACATGACAGCCTGGGAGATAGGCTTGAGGTGGTTGCTGGCTGCGATGTAGCAAAAAGAACATTAGACTAGGCGTTTTTAACAATAGTTGGTGCCCAGATACTCTGTTTATGTGTGGTTTTCAATAATTTAATGCCAGTTTCCTTTTTAACATGTTAGTGTAATAAATAGTTAACGGGAATGTGAAAGCTAAAGATTACATGGTGCCTTATTTTATAAAATGATACCTTTTTATAGATAAGAATAGAAAGTACTTTTTCTTTTTCTAATTTTTATTTAAATTAAAAACAATCTTATTTTACATACCAATCCCAATTTCATCTCCCTCCCATCCTTACACTCCTCCCCACCATCTCCCTACCCCACCCCCCATCCACTTCTCAAAGACCTTGATGCCTCCCAAGGGGAATCATCAAAGTCTGTCACATCATTTGGGGCAGGACTCAGGCCCTTTCCCCTGTAACTAGGCTGAGAGAGTATCCCTCCATAGCGAATGAACTCCAAAAAGCCAGTTTGTACACTGGTTCCACTGCCAACAGCCCTGTAGACTGCCCAAACCCCCTAACTGACACTCACGTTCAGAGGTTCTGGTCGGGTCTCATATTGGCTCCCCAGTATAAGCTGTCAGACTAGGGTCCGTGAACTCCTACTTGCTCAGGTTAGCTGTTTCTATGGGTTTCCCCAGCATGGTTTTGACCCTTTTGCTCATCACTCCTCCCTCTCTTCAACTGGATTCCAGGAGTTCAGCTCAGTGCTTATCTGTGATCTCTGCTTCTGCTACTGGATGAAGGCTCTGTAATAGCATTTAAAGTAGTCATCAATATCATTATAGGGGAAGGGCATTTAAGGTAGCCTCTCCGTTATTGCTTAGATTCTTAGTTGGGGTCATCCTTGTGGATTCCTGGGAATTTCCCTAGTGCCAGATTTCTCATTAAGCCCATAATGGCTCCCTCTATTAAGGTATCTCTTTTCTTGCTCTCCTTCTCAGTCATTTCCCCAACTCGACCTTCCTGATCCCTCATGTTCTCTTCCCCCTTCCCTCTTCTCTCTTACCTCCTTCTTCCCTCCTCTGATGTCCAAATTTACTCAGGAGATCTTGTTTCTTTTCCCTTCTCCAGGGGTCCATGTATGTCTCTCTTAGGGTGCTCCTTGTTTCCTAGCTTCTCTGGGGTTGTGGATTGTAGACTGGTTATTTTTTTCTCTATGTCTAATATCCACTTATGACCCCATGTCTAATATCCACTTATGAGTGCGTACATACCATGCTTTTCTTTCTGTGTTGGGGTTACCTCCCTCAGAATGATTTTCTCTAGTTCCAACCATTTGCCGGGGAATTTCAAGATGTCATTTTTTTTTTTTTAACTACTGAGTAGTATTCCATTGTGTATATGTACCACATTTTCTTTATCCATTCTTCAGTTGAGGGGCATCTAGGTTGCTTCCAGGTGTTACAATAAATCTTTCTGCCAAAAGCCGCCTGAGCCCTACCACCATGTGGGCGGTCTCTGCCAGCTGCCCAAGTTCTACCCACCCTTTGGATGGACAAAATAATACATAGATTTATATTAAGTACAAATGCTGCTTGGCCAATGACTAGGATTCTAATCTGTTAGCTCAGTCTTAATTATCATAAATCTATATATTTTATAAGACTTATCTTATTGGACATCTTCCATTGGTGTCCCTCCTTGCCAGTGGATCACATTGTGCCGCTAGAGGAAGAGCGGAGGGGAAAAAGGGACACTTCCTGTTTCTCCTTGCTTAAATATGAGTCTCCTTGCTATGTCACTTCCTGCCTGGATCACCACTTCTCTACTACATTTCCCAGAATCCTCTTTGACTCCTAGTCCTGTCTAACTTGCTGTCTCATTAGCCAAACAGAACTTTATTCAACAATCAATAAGATAAACATACACCGAAGTACTTACCCCATCATCTCCTCTTTTCTGTCTAAATAAAAAGGACAACTTGTCTTTTATAATAACTAAAGAAAACTAGAACCATAATTGTCCATCTTTAACTCTATCAAAGACCACAGAAGGATAATATATAAACTCTAGAATTGACAGGACATCTCGCTACCTGGACAGTCACCCAAAGTTCCTCTGTAACGTTGGGGCATCCATCTTTAGCCTATAGGCCACAGTGTGTGTGGCATACTTCTCCATTTCAACAGGAACCCTTTAGTACTATCTTGTTTTGTAAGTTTAGCAGTCACTTTCTTGTGGGCCCTGAATGTCTGGTTTATACAGCAACAAACAGTCCAGGCAAGAGCAGTTTCTTGCCCAAATGGCTAATCTTGTCATGTTGAAAGCAAACTCCATAATGAGTTTCTTCGATGCCCATCCTCCTTTCTGACATAATTGGTGTGCCAGGAGCAGTTGTGTCTCACTGTCAAGAAAAATCCTAAACCATTTAAATGCCATATTTCTGTAGGTCTTTGAAAGGTTTGAAGAATACCTATTTATCTCAAATACATCTCTGTATATCTAGAGGACCTAACTAACCTAATTATAAGTTCTGACTATCACAGGTGATTATATAACTTGTATTTAATTATTTATATCATTTTAAAAGATCTGTATAAACACAATACCTAAACGAGAGGAGACATACATAACACAAAATTGACTTAAACTTGTATCAATAATGAAAATCCATACTAATGAAAAGTATTCATTCCTCTATCCTATTCCCCCTTTTTTCTTTAAAAAGAGATTGACTATGCTCATTATCATTTATAACCAACCCCATTTAAATGAAAACAAACATTTATAAACAATATTTGGCAATATGAGTCTTTTTCTTTCTAAACTGCTTCCTGCTGATTGGGGGCAGTGTTCATACCATTGTGATCATGATAAAACATAGAAATCTGACCAAGTCATTGTTTTTGTAGTCTGTAAGGCTGTATCATCTGAGCCTCAGGGGGGTCTTGCTTGATCAAACCGTATTAGTCTGGAAGGAATCCAGAGCTTTTGATTTTCTGTGGAAACACAAGTAAAAACTTTTTTTTTCAAGTAGCCGTCCTTAGACTTAAATTTTGAAGTCAAAGTATTTTTAAAATGTATAAGTTGGATTAATTTAGTAGCATTTATACTCAAATATATTTTAGCAGTAGTAACTCTTTCTTCGGCCATCAAACAATTTAAAGACAACCATATGGCATATAGTATCCAGATTCTCTGTGTATTTTTTATCTTTAGGTGGCTTTTCTACTATTCTACTTTTACTTCCTTTTGTTTCTTTTTTTCTGTGACAGGGTTTCTCTGTGGAAATCTGCCTGTGGTTCTGGCTATTACAAATAATGCTGCTGTGAACATAGTTGAATAGATGTCTTAGAAAGCACTTTTTCAGTAGGACACTAGTCCTCTTTAATTCTTTTTTTTTTTGTTGTTGTTGTTTTGAACAATAGGTTTTATTTCTTATTTTAAGATTTAAAATTTTAATTTGTTTCTATTATAATTTTCCTTTATCCTTGAGAATTCATACATATAAACAGTTTCCTCTGTCAGTTACTTTCATGGCCCCATGAATATGTTCCCCATTCAACTTTATGCCCCCTTTTTTGAGTATTTTATACATGCATATAATGTGCTTTGGTCAAAGCCACTCCCCGTTTCCTCCCCTCCAATTTCTTCCTTATCCCCTAACACTTTTCCTTGCCAACTTCATGTGTTTGCTTTTTAAAAATCTGCTGCATCTACTTCTGTTACATCTCTGAAGAAAACTTACTATTCATCCTCCAGAAGCCACCAATTGCCAGCAACTTCTCTGATAATCCCATGTGTGCTGGGATTTTGAATGGTATAATCTCCTGCAGGTCTGCACATGCAGTCACAGTTGCTGTGAGTTCATGTATGCGGTGGTGCTGTCATGTCTGACATTCACTGTCTGGCTCTTACAATCTTTCCATCCCCTCTCTACAAGGTTCCCTTATTATCTGCATGTTGACCAATTGTAGGTCTCTGTATTAATCCCCATCTACTATAGAAAGGAGTGTCTGTGATGAGAGTTGAAAGATGATCTGCTGTAGGGGTATAAAGATAAGAACTTAGAGAAGAGTTAGCTACTATATCTGTTTAGCAGAATAATAGTTCTGAGTTCTAATCTAGGGCCTATGATTTAGCCAGCCACAGGTTTTGTCCAATTAACAGTACAAGCAATGAGGTCCATCCTGTCAAGGAGGTCATGCCCAAGCAGAAAGTGACTGGTTACTCCCATAATATATGGGCAGCTGTTACACCCATGGGCCTGTCCTGCCAGTCCCATTATTATAGCTGGAAGGGTTCACAGCTGGGTAAGAGAGTTGATTATTTTTCTCCCCCAATAACATATATAGCACCTTTCTGCCCTGTAAAAGCTAGGCAGTCAGGATGGTGCTTCTAGGTTAGTATCACTTAATTTATCCATGTCCTGTGACTCATGTATGTGGTGTCTTCAACAGAAATCTTACTGTTAAGCTCTGGAGGTCTAGCTGAAAGCAATGGTGATAGGCTCTATTGAGAAGGGTCTTTGGGATCACCTGACCAACAACTTGAGCACCCTCCTATGGCACCTTATTGGTTTCCTGCCATTTGTTGGTACTCTAAACATATATCCAACAAATCAAATCTGCCCTCCACACATAAGAGAGAACATGCAGTATTTGTCTTTCTGGGTTTCAGGTATCTGACTCAGAATGATTATTTTCAATTCTATTTATCTGTGAATTTCATAATTCCATTTTATCTTACAGTTGAATAATATCCCCTTACGTAAATGTACCACCAAGTTCATCTAGTGATGTCCATATATGTTTGGGTGTGAGACCATTCACTGGAGTGTGGGAAATCAACCTGTGGGAGCACCCTCACAAAAGAATGATTCTCTCCATATAGAATGGGTTCCACTGAGGGGGAACTAGGATTGGAATGTAAAAAATAAATTAATAAAAAATGTGAGTGATCCAAGCCAGATGGTAAGAAGTCAGTAAAGGGAAATAAGCCTGTAGGCTTGGAGCATCTTGCACTAGATGTACATTGCACCTGCACTGAGTAAGACAGCTTTACCATTGTGGGAACTCAGAATCATTTTGTTTTCTTCCTATTCCAAAGATTCAGTCTATAGGTGGCCATAAAGTCCAGAAATGAAGATGCTAATATTTTGTCAATCATCACATGTCAATAAAGCACTTGTTAAAGGAAAAAAAAAGTGTTAAAAAAAAAAGTGATTCTCCCTCTCTCATAGCTGTCAACTTCCAGTACCTTTTCATTTGGTGGTGATGCCTAGAGAGTACCTCCTCCATCTATGCCAGGATTTAGCTTGCTTGCTCTTGTGCAGGTAATTATAACACTGTGAGTTCATGTGTGCAATAGCAATGGCCAGTCCAGCTGAGCAATAGTTCATCATTACACTTTTCTTACCCATCTGTTAATAGTCGTCCAGGTTAATTCTTTTTCTAGCTATTATGAATAGAGTATCAGTGAACATGGGTATTTAAGTGACTGTGGATATGAGATCCTTTGGGTGTATGTCCAGGAGAGATATAGCCAGGTCATATGTCAGTTCTATTTCCGGTTTTTGAGAAACCTCCAGACTGATATTTTAAGTGTCTGTACTAGTTTACACTCCCACCAACATGAATTCCCTTTTCACCACTTCCATACCAGCTCTCCTCTTTGTCCTTTAATGGATAACTAACCATATCTGGAGCTCTACCAAACCCACGTGAGTCTTCTCAGAAAGTTCTCTCAGAACAAAGACAACATAATGTAAGTATTTCCAAAGCAGTGTGAAATAAAAATATACCATGCTTAAAAGATATAGTAAGTTACATTTGTTCTTAGAGAGCAGTAGTGAACTCTTAAGAAGAGAAAAAATCCTTAGTAAACATCCTTCAAGCCTAGGAACATATGTTTCATTGTAAATGGCACACTGACTGGATTTCCTCTAAAGCTGGGTAGTTTTGACAGAATCCGCCTACAGTAATGAGAGCTTTGACAGGAGTGTGTGTTCCTGATTCTCACTCCAGAGGAGGGAAGAATATCATGCTTAAATTCTAATATACTTGGTTAGAAACAACCCTGAGTATTATGTAACTCCATTATAAAGTTCTTACATTATCTTTAGTAATTTGCCTTAATTCCTGTTCTGCCTGACATATTTTGTTGATCCCAGGCATTTTTTTTTTTTTTTTGCATTTTGCATTTTGGCATCTCTGAATTTAGAATATGTCTCTTAGGTTTTCCATTGCTGGGAGAGATACAAAACCACGGAAACTCTTACAAAGGAAAACATTTATTTGTGTTGGCACAGTTTCAGAGGTTTAGTCCATTATTGTCATGATAAGCATCGTGGCAGTATGCAGTCAGACATGGTGCTGGAAAAGGAGCTGAGAGTTCTATGTTTTGATCCATAGGCAACAGGAAGTGAACTGACTTACTGGGCATGGTTTGAACATTTGTGAGACCTCAAAGCCTACCTCCACAGTGAGACAGTTCCTCCAACAATACCACACCTACTCCAACAAGATCACATATCCTAATAGTACCACCCTATGAGGCAAGCATTCACACACATAAGCTATGGAGGCCATACCTATTCAAACCACCACAATGTCTTACAATAGAAAGGATCCAAGGATTTCATAATAACTTTATTTATAGCATTTTTGAGTGTGTGTATCTTAATTTGTCCCCTGATAAGACAAAATAAATTTATCTCTAGGATTTGGTTTTGTTGTAGTCATACTTTAGCTCATTTCTTTAAAATGGTAATTAATTCACGAGTTCAGAGATTAGTCATTTTTCAATACAGCTGGATGATATTTTTGGTTGTCATGGATATGGAGTCTGTTAAAAATGTTCAAGTCTAGCATATCAGCACAAAGGGAGGCAATGCATAAATGAATGGGGGAGACTATGTTGCAAAATAAAGCAGTTTTTATGAGAATAGCCTTCAAGCTGACTCCTCCATACAGTAACGTATAATGAACATTTATACTGTCTCAGTTCCCAGGGCCAGGTAAATATCCAGACTGCAAAAATGTGTTGAATAAATAAATACATGGATATTACTGTGCAAAGAAACAGAGATGGGCAAGACACTAAACTACACACTCCTTCCGTTTGCATAATTTAAGAAACCTTCAACATTTGTAACAGATACTTCTAAATAGAAGCACTGATGTGGTATGCTGTATCACTCTTGAGAGTGTACATGCCTAGTGTCATCCTCAGGCAAGTCTGGCTTAGCATGGCAGTACTAAATTATAGTTCTGGAGCACAAGAAGGCAGCCTGCCTGTCCAGTTCCAGCTTTTCAGCCACATTGCAGTTTTTTAAAGTACTTTCTCAGCATTTTTTTCCTAGTGTGTCACTTTTCCCTGCCTTCCCTCTGGTAACCTGGTTGGTGTGTGTTTTCAGGTGCTGAGTACAGTGCTTTCTATGTATGTTGTGTACAGCACCCACCACAGTCTGTTAGAGAAAGAAGGTCTGCCTCTTATGAATCAGATTGTGAGCTGGACAACGTTGGGTAAGTAGCCAATCAAACCAAATTGGAAAACTTCACCTCCAGTCTCTTATCTTAAAAAAACGATAACTTTACATCTGCATTGTACTGAAAGAAATCATTTTGATGAAGGAAAACTGTAGCCAGCTATGATTTCTATTTCTTTATAGAATTTGACAAAGAAAAGTAGAACTCTTGTGAGCACACATTGGTTAATAAGAATTACTTGATAGAATATTTATGGCTTGATAATTGGACTGTGTACTTAAGAACATCTAATAATACCTACTGAGTGATTCCAGAAGAGATTTTTTTAATATTCCATCATATATATATATATATATATATATATATATATATATATAATTTTCATGTTATTCCTTACATTTTCAGGTCTTACCAAAATTAGTAAATGATCAAATTTATGTTTTCCTTGCTAAAGCCAACAGTGACTAGCTATTTCCCAACATGATGTATATTTTATGAAGCTACTTGGTGTTTCTAATCATGTTCTTCTACATGGCACACTTATTTAAGATTGTTAGATGTGGGGTGGTGAAATGGCTTTGTGATTACAGGTGCTTACTGCTTTTGCAGAGAACCGAGGATGAACTCTTCAACACCTGCATGGTAGTCCACAACTGCTTCAAAAGTGAATACACAGATAGGGAAAGAATAAAATCTTAAGGATATTATAGGAATGGAGTTATTTGTACTCTCTGCTCACAATTTTTCAAGTTCCTTTGCAGAGGCAGGAGGATCTCCATGAGTTCTAAACCAGCCAGATCTACATACTGTCTCAAACAATGCAAAACAAAACAAACAAAAAATAGTTCCCTTGGCCTGGAGTAGTGGTGCATGCCTTTGATACCAGCATTGGGGAAGCAGAGGCTGGTGTATCTCTTAAGTTAAAGGCCAGCCTGCTCATATAGAGAGTACCAGGCCAGCTAGGGATATGTAGTGAGACCCTGTCTAAAAGAAAGGAAGGAAGAAAAAAAGAGTACCTTTGTTTGTTAATCTAAAGCATTTCCCTAGTCTTATTTTCATATGCTATTGTAAATAAAACACACATGCTTGCTATTTAAGAATTCCTGTTCCCCTCTCCCAATTTGGGTATCTATGTAGTTTATTCATATCTTTATGTTATTTAGAATGGAGACTCTTAATCTCTCTTTAGTACCTTGTTATTCCTTTAAACAAAAATAAAGCTAAGATGAAATATTCAGTATTGGAAAATTGGTTTCAATTTAAGTGGCATTTGTTAGGACTGTAGCTCAGTAGTAGAGCACTTGCTCAGTATGCTTCAGGCCTTAAATTTAATCCTGAGTTTTGGGGAAAAAAAGAATCCACAAACAACCAAGAACACACTTGAACTGACTTAAAATAAGAAACATTGCAAGTTATTTCTTATGTTAGAGTATGTATCAGTAGTAAGATTATTGACCTATTGCTACACCTTAGCTAATGCTTTACAAATAGAAAGGACTTGTAGATCTTTGAATCTTGTAGGGATTTGTAACTTTAATTAAAATTATCCATAAATTTAGCTTATTTTACATGATAATAATTACAAACAAAGATAGCAGCTAATACTAGGCATTTTATAGCTGAAATTTTACTTAAAACTCAAGGCAAGTTTTCTTGAATGTTATCCCTATTTAGCAATGTGTAAACTTCTCCTTAAATGGATTAATAAACTTGAGCCCCACAAAACCATTTAGTGAATGATTCAGCAAAACATCACCTGAGTTTCATATTCTGGAGCACCTGGGATGTTAGGTGGTTGTGTACAGTCCCTCTCTGAAACAGCCATGGTGTTTATGTTTGCTTCGACACCCCTTTTCATCACCTTGCCCACCTTGAGGTAGTTAATTTTCTAGGATGACTTTCACAACCCTGATATGTTGTGAAGTCATTCTTTCCTGATCTTTATATACCAGGTAGCACACTACAACTCCAGATGCCTGCTTCTCTGAAGTTAGACACAATCAATTTCTAGGGAATACATTGTCTTTGAACTAGGACATAAATGTCTAAGAGACAAGTTGTTGAACCTTAAGTAATATTTTATTTCATTAGAAAATAGTAAATTATTCATGTGGGAGTCAATATTATTATAGTGATCTGGTTTAAATAAAATTGAGAAAACCTGAGTTATTTAACCCACAATATAATTTTAGTTAACAATGTAATGTTTCTGTTTTCTTAAAGAAATCCTGTTGTTATATTAAAGGTCACACAAACCCTAAATTGCATTAGTGGTGGTGGGTTGCCTGTGTCTACAGAACTGACACTGGACTATGTTTTCTTACAGCCTCTTCCTTGGTTGTGCCACTCCTGAGTTCCACAATTCTCTTCCAGCGACTGTCCAGCATACTTCTTTCCTTGATGTCAACCTACTTGCTTCTAAGCACAGGGTATGAACTTTTTTCTATTTAATTTTTTTATTTTTGAGAACTTGGTCTGAGTACTGTATTTCATTGTATCTATGCCTTCCTCTCCCCCTCCAGTGTCTTCCATGTCCCTCTCCCTCACAAATTCATGAGTCATATAAGTATTGTTGTATTGTTTTTACACACACACACACACACACACACACACACACACACATATAAACATATATAGAGATATATGTATAAAGTTTTCTTAAAATAAAATTTCACAATTGCAAACTTTAAATGCTAAATTGACTTCTTTAGTAGCTAAGCTTTGGGGATAAAAATGTTTTCTAAATCTTGAAGGATAAATTATAAAAATTTTATGCTCTTCATGTGAGTAGGTATCTTTGGGTATAATTTTGTTCTATTCTTCTCATCATTTCCATAGTATTATCTGATATCTCTTTTTGTCTTTTTTGTTTGTTTGTTTGTTTTGTTTTTGTTTTTCGAGACAGGATTTCTCTGTATTGCTTTGGAGGCTGTCCTGACACTCACTCTGTAGACGAGGCTGGCCTCGAACTCACAGAGATCTGCCTGCCTCTGCCTCTCTCATGCTGAGATTAAAGGCATGTGCCACCACCGCCTGCTCTGCTATCTCTTTTTAATTTTAGGAATTGCTGAAATTTTATTTAATTATGGTATTAGGAAATCCTGATGGATTATAGCAGAAGTTTATGTCTGAGGAGTTTTTGTTTGTTTGTTTGTTTCTGAGACAGGGTTTCTCTGTAGCTTTGGTGCTTGTCCTGGAACTCTCTCTGTAGACTAGGATGGCCTGGAACTCACAGAGATCTGCCTGCCTCTGCCTCTAGAGTGCTGGGATTAAAAGCATGCGCCACCACCTTCTGGCATCGGAAGAGTTTTTATAAAGGATATTTAGTTTTGTTGCATTCCTTTAATGCATTTTTCCACAGTGTTATGATCTCTATTCCATTAAGTGACTGGACTATATAGCTAGAAGTGAAACAGAAATTTCTCTTTAATATGGAACAGCATCATTGCTTCCTGTTGCACTTAAGAAAACAAAGCTATATTATTTTAAAGTTATTCAAAGGCTAGGATCTAGCAGAAAATACAGCAAATAATTTTTAAAATAAAAGAAATCTATTTCTAAGATTTATATTTTACTTTTTTATTAATTGAATTTTTTTTCAGCGTCAAGAATTGAAGCCCTGTGCATAATAGAAAAGACTCTACATTCCCTGTGTGATCATTTGTCTTTATTGTCAACTTGATTCACGCCAGAATCAGCTGGGAGATGGGCCTGTGGGCATGCCTATGGGGAATTATCCTGATCATGTCAACTGTGGATAGTACCATTTTCTAGAAGAGGGCCCTTGGCTGTACAAAATGTAGAAGAAACATGAGTGCTAGCATGCTGTCATGGCTCTCTACTGGTGATTATGGATCTTGTGAACAGCTGCTTCAGCCCCTGACGCCTTGAATCCCCTACTGTGACAGACCACACCCTGGAAGTGTAGCCCAGAACAAACCCCTTCCCTTAGAAATAGATCTGGATTGGAAATAAAGGAGTATAAGGATGAATGAAATGATAGTATAAGTTTGATTTTAAGTAAATACATTATATATTTCTTAAAATAGAGTGAGTTCATTCTATAAATTACCTTGGAGAGAAGTTTTATAATAGTGTTGTTAATCATCAATTTAATGGTCTTGAGAGACCCTCAGACACATTATCATTATGATATCTAGTTTAAGAATATTAAAACCAGGAAAGTTAATGCCTAAAATCAGAATGTTACTGATTAGTAACATACCTTACTAATAAATGCATTAAGAGACATCATTCAACTTCAGTCTCTAGCTTTGAAAAGGGTTCTTGAAACAGTATGTTCTAGTCACTCAGGTTAGTACAGTTTCTTGGTTTCTTATCAGTTTTGTAAATCATCACTGTTTTGGACAAAATAAAGTTTCTCTGTGTAAGTCAGTAAATATTCAGAAATAAGAGATTTTTAAAATAAATGCAGCTTTATTATAGAGAAATAGTATCTTAAATTCTAACAATGCATCCTTGATTTAATGATAAAAAAAGACTTGTTAGTAATCAGCCCTGAATTAATTTTATTCAAATGAATGCTATTATAATTCTTGAAAATAGCTTTGTCTATTGAGTTGTTAAATATTTCCCTCTGAAATTTTGTTTATATTGTCCCTTTGCTTAGCAAAATATAAGTGCATTTTTAGCCCATTGCAATCTACACAGAGGCCAAACCAGCAGATTGCAACTTAGGTTTTAGTGTTTCATTACATTCTCTTTAAGTCCACAGTGATTAATATGGTCTTTCCATATTAATTTGGATTTGCAGGCTGTATATGAAAGTTTGCCTGGAGATAAAGACTCTTGGGAGGACTGTTTCTATCTGATCCTGTCTGCATTTTAGAAAGGGCCAGAGCTCTGAAGTACTGAGTGATTTATGGCTGTGTATTATTAGAAAGAATGATGACTCTCACATACAGCTGAAACTGTTTCTAAAAGTCATGGTATCATGGGGGCTGCATAGATGACTGGGCACTTAAGAGTACTGGTTGCTTTTTCAGAAGATCCAGGTTTCTAGAGTCTATATGGTACTAACAACCTTCTGTAACTGCACTTCCAGGTGATTCAATGCCTCCTCTGACCTCTTTGCATGCCAAACATGCATGCAGTACACAGATGTTCATGCAGGCAAAAAACTCATACTTAGAAAATAAAAATATTTTCAAAGTCATCATCTGTCTTTTTGATCCGATTGATCACGATTTTTTTTTCTTTTTGTACTTTTCCAGCATCCTGAGCACTAAGCAGACAAACCAAAAGAACTATTACTGTAATGCAGGCCTGCAGTGGAGCTGCTCAGGCTATAAAATAGGAATTGTGTTTTACAGTGTTACAGTAAAAACTGGAAAGTTGATTTATTGGTTAGGAACTGAATAGACTGAATTGTGGAACTGGGTTGGTGGCATCCAACCTCATGTGGAAGTTGAACTAAACCTTAATGTTAGTATAGTTTAGATATTTTTTGTATGATTTTCACTATGATGTATGAGGCCCAATAGGCATGAGCTTTTTAAAAAAATTTATTTAAGAACAGTGCTATTCTATATCACCAACAAACTACAAGAGGTGTTATTTTATCATATCCTTAATAATATGGACTATTTTTCTTTACAGATAAGAACACCAAATACAAATTTAATGGGCTATAAATGGCTCTGCTTTGTACTGTTTTCTGTATATTTTGCTATTGATATTTTCTCATGTATATAGTTATCCTAGGACATCCTATATCCTACACACTGGGTGATTGTATATATTTGCTCAAATCTATATGTTTGTGCCCAGTCTAGTATTTTTGTTTTATTCTTTTGGTACAGTTGAAAGCATTTTTTTTCTTTTGAATCTTCATATCTGGAAAATGAGAGACCAAGGCCTCAGCAAAACTACAACTGTAGCACAAAGATCTGAGCAGGAGGCAGTCTCACCCAGTCAGCTAGACTTGATTGCCCCTGACCTACCCCTGACCTCAGCCCTAGCCATAGGAGCCATGAACTCTTCACCACATAGGGAGAGGCCAATCAGAGGAGTAAACAACTCCAGGAATCCTCTTGCTGAAGACTACCATGTTGCAATTCTCCAGACCAGGGTAACCAATCAACTCAGCTCAGATACCGGTTTTGAGCCAATCCCAAGTCTGTAACTATGCAGTTTTGGAGAGATTGAGCGATAAATCCTAAATCTATAGCTATGGCAGTTTGGAATTCTTCAAGCTTGGTCCTTTTTGCCTGGACACTATAAAAACCACCACCCTGTGCTCTCTCCTGCTCTACTGCTGCTGTTGCTGCTGCTGCTTGGGAAGGCTGGAGAGGCCTATGTTAACTAGCAGTAAAGACTCTGCTTTTACATCAGATTCTGTCTCTTGGTGGTACTTTGGGGTTCCTGACTTTGTGTGTAACAGGAAATAGTGTCATAGGGCCTAGAATTCAGTAGTAAAAAGTGAAGAAAGGTTACATTATGTTTTTGTTTGTTTGCTTGTTTGTTTTTTTGCAGCTTCCAGTAAAGTTAGTTGTTCTTTCAGAACCACACTCTTTTGATAAAGTATATAAAGTGTATAAATGTGTTTGTATGATCAAAGCTGTGTGGTACACCCTTCAGCAGAGCATTTGGGGATCATGGAAGTGGAGCACTTACTCCAGGCTAGAGCAGAAGCAGTTTGGAAAAGGCTTGGCACTATGTTACCTTGAGTTTTTCTTTTTTCTTTTGTGTTTACTGCCCTTCATCTTACAGAGGTACAGGTATATGTGTAATAACTTCCTGTGAACATGCAAGGCCTTCACCCCTTTATTGCCCCATCAGGTAAACCTTATTATACTAAGATTCATAGAGCATATGTCTGATTTTCTTAGAATTGATGTTCTTAGATTGAGGGTTGTGAATGTTTTTTATATCTTTGATGCATAGCATTAGATAACCTTTCACTGTAGTGTATGTTTCTATATACAGAGTATGAGAGTCTAGTTCAGTGTACTCTTGTCAACACTGTGTTTTATATTGACAAACATGATAAGCAGATAATGACATCTTGTTTTTTGGGTTGATTTTCATCTCAGTTATTGATATAGCCAGATATACTTTAATGCATTTATTGACCCTTTCATTTTCTCCTTAGGGGTTTGTAGTCCTGTATCAAACTTACCTTTTAGGGAGTTTGTCTTGTTCTTACACATATATTAGTGATTGTGCCTACAAAGTTATCTTTTTACATTTGCCTTAGCATTTTATTTCTTTCATGAATAGCTGTTAACTTCTTTAGGAGTGTTTTATTATTTTTTTTCCAGTTTTAAACATGTAATTATCTCAAGATTTAATGAAGTTCAAAAAAAGATACCATTAAAGTTGGAACGTAAATGTATCTTTCTTTCACTAACCTTGTCCAGAAAACTTAAAAGGTTTTGCTGCAATTTTTTAAGGTTTATTTCATTTTTATTTTGTGTATATGACTGTTTTGCCTTCATGTATATGCACTATGTGTGTGCCTGGTGCCTACAGAGACCAGAAGAGAGCAACAGATCCTTTGGAACTGGCACTACAGACCATTGTACACTATCATGTGGGTGCTGGTAACCAAAACTGGGTCCTCTTTAAGAGCAACAATTGCTTTTAACTGCTGAGGCATCTCTCCAGCCCCCATCACAATTATTTAAAGAATGATTTCTGGTTTTGATTTTCAGCTTTCTCTGTTAATATTTTCATCTCTGTGCTTTCACTTTCTGCCTCTTAGGTATGAAGCTCTCTTTCCATTAGTGTTGTCCTGCTTGATGTTTGTCTGGATACACATGGAACAAGAGACCCTGCACCAGCCTGGTGTTTCCTGTAAACAGAAGGTAGCTGTCCAAACCATTGCTGCTTTGATTTAAAATATTCTCTGTGCTATAAGAATAGTTGTGTTATTTCACTAAAAATTCTTTCTGCCTAGAATTCTAGCATTTAAAAAGCTTAGCAAGTTTTACTTAGTATTAATAATTAAGGTATCGAAAAAACCAAAAACATTAAGGTAAACAATTAACACATAAGGGAAATTTTAATTTTTAACAAAACACAATTGTACAGTTTTGTATGACATGATTGTGTTGGGCTTTTCATAGAAAATTATTAAGAATCAAATAAAAAATCAATATATGGTGAGCAACACATCTCAATGGATAAAAGTGTTTGGTACTTGGCTACCACACTTAATGATCTGAGATCAAGTGGTAAGAGAGAGCCAAGACCTCCACATACATGTAGCATATACACTACATGCCCCAGCACATGCACACACCTGTTTTCACCTCCAGTTTTCCCTTCTGATAGTTCACTTGAGCATAAGGTGATATTTAAGTACCCATTGTTGTTTCTGTATCCATCCTAATCCAAGGTGCTTATTCTGTCATCTTAGAGATTGTGGCCTCTGACTATATCTTTGACAGTTTGCATACTATGCTATGCTTAGAACTGGAAAAAAGCCAACCACTTTTTTTTAACTTATTTTTTTTATTTAAATTAGTAACAAGCTTGCTTCACATGTCAATCCTAGCTCCCTCTCCTCCCCCTCCCCGCAGAGGAAGTGTAAAGGAGTAAATGTTTACTTTGTGCCACCTTCCTAATATTATATAACTGATTTAAGAAGACAAGAAGCTGATAAATGAAGTCTCTGAATAGTGATTTGAAAGTGAAATATTTATACAGGTTAGGAAAAATGACCAACTCTTACTTTAATAACACGTGATAAATACCACAACTTCATTTAGCATGTTACTAACATATTTTGCCTTCGAGTACATTGTATTAAGATGTAATTATGCTATTTCACTGTTGTGGCTCTTTTTTAAATTTGTTTTTTATGTGGACACAGTATAAATTCTTAGCCATTTTTAATTTGTCTGTAAGCTAAATACTGTTGTCTATTTATGTGTATTAATATATTTCTTATTACCTCCCAGCTCACCAGCATTCAGTTCACCTGTAATACTGATATAGCTCAGTTGCGTCTGCTTGATCTGGATGACGTCCGCAGGGCCTTTTTCCTTGTATCCTTTCTTGGGACTTGTAAGATCTGCTAAACCCATTTTAATAGAGTAAGATGATAGAGAAGGTGTTTCTGCTTGTTACTTACTCCTGGTATTTTATTAGAGGCCAGTTAACTCTATTCTCAACTTGAGTTTTCTCATATATACAGCTCTCATCAAAATTTGGAGAGGCCAGATGCTAGGCATTTAGATCAAGGATAAAATGCTTGCTTAGCAAGCCCCAAGTCCTGGGTTCAACCCCTAGTAGTGCAAACAAATACTTTTTTTAGCTATAGAAAATGATGTTGCAAATCTGTATGGATCTTCACCATTCAGTGTCTTAGCAGTTAAGATTTTATCACATATGTCCATATTCCAAAATGTTGAAGGTGAAACTGAATTCTCTTTTTAACTCTCAACTCCTGTTTAATTTTTCCTGCCATAGAAGAAACTATCATGGGTTAGTATCTTGTGTGCTTTACCTGCGGCTTGTTAGGTCAACGCCTGTCTAACGGGTGGCCTTTGGATCCCATCAGAAGCATTACAAGCTTGAAAGATGTTATGGTGAAGACCTACTGGCTAGCTGCAAGAAATTCATAGGGAGTTACTCGGTTGAAAAATAATTACCTAAAATTTCAGCTTTACCGAGGTAAAATCGATAAAAAAATTATAGACATTGAAGATGTATAGCTTGATGCTTTGCCTAGCACAGTAAAATGATCACACAAAGTAATGGATATATCCTCATCTACTCAGCTGCTGTTTTCATTTCTTCCCTCTCTCCTTTCCTTCCTTCTTTATAGTTTTCTTCCCATCCTTCCTCTTTCCCTACTGCCTTCCCTCTCTATTCTTGTGATGATAATTAAAATCTTCTGTCCTTGCAGGCTTTAACACAATGCAGTTTCTGTATTACCATACTTAACCTTAGCTCTCTAGATCTTACTTATCATAGATAATTGAAAGTTTGGTTCTTTGACCTCATCTTCTTTGCCCCTCTTTCTGGTCCTTCCAAATACCATTCTACTGTTTTCTATGGTTCGTGGTTTCCTTCCCTTCATTTTTATTTTCATTGCTGTTCTCCTTTTCTTCTGTTGCATGATTCTGAACCATGGCTTTCATAGCCACCCTCTGTAGCCTGCTTCCTATGTCTAATGAGTAACAGCTTTTCCTCTAGCACTGTGAGACACCTCTGACATCCACTTCCCTTGCTTTGACCTCTTCTGACCTTGATAGCCCTCTCTCCACCATTTTCCTTGGAATCACCAGATACCTGTGTAACTGACTAACAACTGATGGTGCTCTTACCCAAGTAGCTCCCTAGACAGCCTCTTGCCTCTGAAATGGACTGCTGAGTCAGATCCCTAGACATCCTCCTGCCTCTGATGTGGACTACTGAACCAGCTCTATATGCAGCCTCCTGCCTTTGTCTTTCTATGCTTGTGTATTGTAAATCACTTGAATTTTCATTATGCTACTAACCTAAACTATTTGCTTCCCACATCATTTTCCCCAAAAATTTAAAGTTCAAATTTTTATTAACATGCTATTAGTCTATATTCCTTCCTTTAATTTTCCTGTGTCTTTTGATGAGCCATTAGCTCTTACCACACCTATTTACTGTTTCATTATGTAATTTATTTTTCCACTATGTCTACCAATTTTACCAGCATGTTTAAATCACTTTAAGATGATTTTATGCACATGTATGTTCTTAGAACATACCTCTGTTTAAGAGAGGTGCCAGATAATAACTGTCGGTTGTTTAGGTGTTGAGTTCAGACAATGGCAGCATGGATACCTCTACAGCTTAGCTCACCAACTGGGATGCTGCCTTTACCCTAGAAGTTGTCATGATTTCTCTTGGATAGTCTCTGTACCCAATCTCTGTGCACATGTGTGATGATAAAAGGGCTCATTTTAACAAGGGCTTTCATTAAGTCAGGCCTCATTTTGAGTACTTAAATAGTAATACATTCTGGACACAAACAGGGTTGATGCCTAAACAAATCAGAGTTCAAGAAATGGAACCAGTAAGATGGTTCTGCAGGTAAAAGCACTTACTGTGTGTGCTGGTTAGTTTTGGTCAACTTGGCACAAACTATAGTTACGTGGGAAGAGGGAACCTAACTTAGGAATTGCCTCCATCAGATTGGCCTGTGGGCAAGCCTATCAGACACTTTTTTTAATGAATGATTGATGTGGGAGGACCCAGTCCACTGTTGTAGTGCTGCCCGTGGGCTGATAGTCCTGATTGTATAAGGAAAGCAGGCTGAGCAAGCCATGGTTAGCAAGTCAGTAAGCAGCATTTCTCTGTGGTCTCTGCTTCAATTCTTGCTTCCAGGTTTCTGCATTAGCTTACTACAATGATATACTGTGATCTGAATTTGTAAACCAAATAAATCCTTTCCTCCCCAAGTTGCTTTTGGTCAGGATTTATCACAGCAATTTAAAGTAGCTAATACACTGTGTAAACCAGATGACCTGAGTTTAGTTCTCAGAACCCACTGTGGAAGGAGAGAATCAAGTCTCCAAAGTTGTCCTTTAACTTAAACACACACACACACACACACACACACACACACACACACACACACTCATGCAATAATAATATTGAAAAACATTCTCTATTGAGTTGAGGTATTCTAAAGTATATTTTGTTTCTTTTTGAGCTTTTTGCAGAGCTTATGAGTTTCACAAGTAAAGGTATATAAGTATATGTAATAAGTATATGTAAGTAAAGCCATCTTGTAGCTGAAAATGTCTGGTGTTTTAGGCCTACATCCTTTTGAAAAAGTCATAAGCAACAACCACAGTTAGTTCATCCTGTTGATGCTTGAGAAGAGGAAAGTAGCTTTCTCAAGAGTCACCAGCAGCTCCACACACCTAATGGTTTTTAGGCCATTGGTTCAGTTTTCAGAATTTTGTAATGTATTCATCAGGAAGGCACTCAACCATCACTTTCAAACAAGTGATGATTAAACAGATAAAAAAGAAAATTGCTTTTGTAGTAGAATTGCTTTTTTTTTTTCCTAAATGAAAAAAAAAAAAAGTACCAAACACCAGATAGAGAAGCGATGGCTAAAGGACAAAGGAAAATTGGCTTGAATTCAAGTCCTTCCCTCCATTCTAGGGAGTGCCCTTTGCTAGATATTTGACTCAAATCATCAAAAAAAAAAAAAAAATGCCTGATTTGGATGTAGAGTTAGAAATCTTTCATTTGTAAACCAAGATTAGTCACTACTTGAAAGTTTGTCTTGACAAACAATAAATGATTTGGAAAGAAAGAAATTTTGGGTATTCTTACTTATTTAGGCATTTCCTTAACTGTGTATAGGTTTTCTTTTTAGTGACTGCATTTTTTGGAACTGGAAATATAGCTTCTATTAACAGGTAATGTTTTACATTTATTTACTTCTGTGTGTGTGTGTGTGTGTGTGTGTGTGTGTGTGTGTGTGTGTGTGTGTGTGTGTGCGCGCGCGTGCGCGCCCGTCCTCGCAGGCACACACTCAGGCCAAAAGAGTGTCAGATATACTGGAGTAACAGGCTGTTGTGAGCCACCTGATGACTTGAGTCCTTCAGAAGATCATCAAGTGCTCTTAACTGCTGAATTCTCTCTTCAGTCACTTTATCTTGTTTCTGTATTCAATAATATAGTATACTGGAGCATAATATGATACTAAAGGAGATTAGCATACAGACTTATTTTGTTTATTCTAGAATGACTAAGTTTTAGTAAGAGTTGGTTCCAGAGAACCACTGAGCTTCTTTTTAATAGAATATTCTTTTAAAGTCACAGTGTGAATTCTAAAGTCTTTACTCTTTTCTTTATCGTTGTTTAGCTTTGACCTTGCCTCTGTGTATTGCTTTCTGACTGTGTTTAGTCCTTTCATGATGGGAGCTCTAATGATGTGGAAGGTTAGTTTTTTATTTTATTACTTGCATTAAATGATTTGTTTAAAGATTTTGATATTAAGTTTGTGTATCATTAAGATTGTAAAGTCATTGTGACAGAGGTACCCTTTCAAACTTGGTGCTGATGGAGGCAACCCTGAAACCTCTCTTCCACATATTGCTAATCTTTGCTTTATTCTTCAGACAATTGAGTATAAAAGAATAAGGATTGTTAGCCCAAGAAAAGTCTGAGATAATTAAAGACTGCACAGAGTAATAATCAAAACTGCAGTGTTGCTAAAGATGATGAAACTCACTGATCCCACTGGTCGCCAGGACAGCCACTGTGTTCTCATTTTTACTATGTAGCCAGAATTAATCAGTCCTTTCAACAAATGTGTTATTCAGTATTCTGTATATTTACTGTGTGAGGTACCAGGTGAGCTGACAGTATGAAAGTACTTACATGTTCAGATTTCTAGAGGTAAAGATTCTGGTAAAATATAGTTCATCTTCTTTAAGGAAATTGTATTAGTTGTTTTTCTGTTGCTGTAGTAAAACACCCTGATAAAAAGCAAGTTAGGGAAGAAAGGGTTTGTTTCACTTATAATTCTTGAGGGGACACAGTCCATTGTAACACAAGTTCTAAAAGGTCTTAATAATAAAAGCATGGAGTCAGATATTAGGGGGTAAAAGCTGAAAGATCAGAGAAGCAGAGCAGCCAGCTACTAGAACTCTTACCTCTATGAAATCCTCAGACTGAAAAGAGAACCCAGTTCGTGTCTCCTCCCACCTATATTCCTCTCTTTGTGAAGCCATCTCATTTCCTGTCTGTCTGTACAGACCTCCAGACCTCTATGGTAGATGGGGGCTAGCTCTGCTCTCTGATCTTCAGACAAGCCTTATTTGTTGGAGTATAAACAAGGTATCAACAAATTTCCCCCCTTTTTTTGTCTAAAAATAAGAAGGTTATTGTGGTGATAGGTTATTTATGATTTATTAAAGCATGCATGCCGAGGAATCAGAAAGCAAAGCCAGCCTTAAGCTATAGTGATCAGGCAGTGGTGATACCCGCCTTTAATCCCAGCAGCAATAGAGCTAGGTGATGGTAGGCACACACCTTTAATCCCAGGACCTCAGGATTAAGAGGTAGACAATTTCTCTTAGTTCAAGGCCACACTGACTACCAAAATTGATCCAGCCCTAAAGAAACAGCTCACACAAAGGTGATTTCAGCACCTGGTATCACAAGCCTTTAATCCCAGCATTAGGGAGGTATATAAGACAGGAGCAGGGTCTCAGCTGGCATTCAATCTGTAAATTAGTCTCTAGCCACATTGAGGAGAGCATAGCAGTCTGAGTGAATCTGAGGAGTGGTGAAGGTGGGAGTAGTTTGTGGATGCCCCTTTAGTCTGAGCTGAGCTGAGGTAGAGGTAAGAGCTAGTGGCCGGCTGCTTTGCTTTTCTGATCTTCAACTTAAAGCTTAAACCCTACTGTCTGTCTCTTTTGTTTTTTGTGCTACAGGTTATAACTAATGAGAAAAACTATATACAATAAGTACAATAACTATACAATATATACAGGCAATACCTACATCAGCAATGCCTAGTCCATTAATAATTGACAAATTCAAACAAAATACTTCATAACTATCCTATTTTGGTGAGTCCAAAAGTTGTTCCTAATTCACTTTCTATTTTAACTTGCATTACCAAAACTATCTTTTTATATCTCTCAACCTTATACACTTTACATTTCTTCAGTGAATTTCTTTTCTGCATCTGGTAACAAGGAAAAATTACAACTATAACTATAAAGTCTTCAATTCGATTAGAGACCTGAGAAAGAAATAATATTACTTGAGTAAGCAGGAAGTGCCAACAAGTGACTTCCAAAATATATGAGAAATGACTGAAACAGCTCGCTGCCTGGACAGTTACCCAAGGTTCCTCTGAAAAATTGGGACATCCATCTTTAGCCTACAGGCCTAGCAAATCTGACTGATTTTTCTGTGAAGCAGGATATTCTGAAAGGCTGTCCTACCTTGTCTTGACAAGGTTTGGCAGTCCTTTCTTTTGTGTCCTGCTTGTCCAATTCAGACAGCAAGTCAGCAGTCGAGACAAGAGCACTTTCTTGTCCAGTGGCTAACTTTTTCCACAAAGAAAGTAAACTTCATGTGGAGTTTCTTTGATGCCCCTCATCTCTGAAGTAAATTGGTGCTATCAGGAGCAAACATGTTTCATTGTCATAAAAAAGAAAAGAACCTATGTTATTAAAACATTTTAAATGCCATATTCTGCAGATCTCTGAAGTGTTTGAAGATGACCTTTCTATCTAAAATATATCTCATTAAGCCTGAAAACATACCCAATATGACTACAAGTTCGATTGTAATAGGTGACCAATTACTAAACTGAATTTCCTTATTATCCTAAATAGCTGGTAATGATAACTTTAAAGGGCTAAAAATTTGCATTACATTGTTAAACAAGTTGCATAGGTACAATACTTTGAACAAGATTAGAAATGTATGTATATAGTATGTTCTAACAAAAATAATCCCAACTTTGTATCAATATATGTAAATATCCAAGCCAATGTAAAATATTTAAAACTAGTAGTTGCTTTTTTGGCTTAAAAGTGGATCCAATAATATACATTTTCATTCTATTTCTATATCCTCCTTTTCTCTTTTCAGAGTAGATTCAATAATCTACCCTTTTATCCTATCATTTCTCTATCCACCTTTTATCTTTTCAAAACAAGAACTCTGAATCTAATCTCCTTTGTTCAACTTTTGTCCTGAACATTACCAGTAACAACTTGTAACCAATCCCTCTAAACAATGGCAAATATCTATAACCCATTGAATGACCAAAAACCACCCACCCCACCTCTTAGGAATGTGGGCGTTGTCCTGCGAGGTTGCAGGTTAAGATATCTTTATTCAAATAATACCGGCCAAGCACAAGCCAGAGCCTGCCCAGAGGCAGCAAGCTAGGGAGGCCAGAGAGGGCTCTCATGTCTCTGCCACACCTTAAGAACTCCCCATGCGTCATCCTGAACCTCCCCTGACCACGCCCTGACAGGCGTGGTTAAGCAAACCTGTTGCCAGCTCTTAGGAAGCATGGTTACGGGTCTCCTACAGGGCGTCTTGTTCTTCAAATTACTTCCTGCTCTTTGCCAGTGATGGCATCTTTAGGGGATCCTGAAACGAAAAATTTGTGGTATTGTCAAGTCCTGGGAGAGTTAGCTGTATTATTTGTTGTACAGTCTCAGCATAATGGGAAAGTCCTGGCTAGAGTAGTCTGTGAGGCTGAATCAGCTAGCCACCTCAAAAATACCCTGAGCAGTTTATAGTTCAAAGCTGATCTTTAGGTGGTGTTTTTCAGTTTAGTAGCGTTGTCACTGTCCTGATAGAATGGTCATTGGGGACCCCATTGTCCTTTTGGAGACTTCAAAAGTCACTGTTAGGTGTGGTCATGGTTCACTGCAGAAAACTAACATTTTAAATGTCATATACAGCAGATCTCAAAGAGGTTTAAAGAATTAATATTTGTTATGTACATCCAGAGTGTAAAAACTTAATTCCTAGTTATATGAAAGGGACTTAAATCCAAAATCATGTACATGAAGCTAGATAAAGCCTTTTTCTAGAATTAGCTACGAGTCTATATGACCATTAATATAACAAAAACTTACTTAATAAATTTTTAACTAATACTTGTACCTTGAGAAAAGCTTCAAAGACTCAAAATAGAACCAAAGGATTGTGAGATTAGTGAAAATAAAATAGTCCCTTAATTTTTGTTTTTCTTCTGTCACATATCAAGTGGCTTTTCTGACATAAGACAGTTATTGTAGATTTTATTTTAATAAACATGCTTGGGTTGGAGAAGGAGAGAGCCACATTCCAACTCCAAAGCCAGCTTTAATTTTTAATTGGTCTAGGACTACAAAAAGACCATTTGCATTATATGTCTGCAGAGAAAAGCAGAAACAAACATTTGGGAAGATACATGAAATTTTATCCTGTTGGAGATATGATATACTAATAGGCCAATTCACTCTTTTTCTTGGGACACTTTTTGTCTGGATGATTTGTCCTTTTTCCTCAGATGTCTCATTTGTCCAGTGGTCTTTAGATTCCTTAGCTGGATGCCTTCATTCTCCTGAAAAGACAAAAACAAAACCCTTTCCCAACCCTAATTTTGGGGGAGGTTCCCTTATGGCATGTTATAGCTGATCAAATTTAAAGCATTTGTTATTTTTAAAGTTAGTTTTGATTGAATGGCCATGCTGTTTGATTAACTATCACCTCTTCTAATCGAGCAATGTCTCTTGTTAAAATCTAATTTTTATCAATTTTGATGGTATCTATAGATTTGCTTTTGACATGATTTTTTCAATGAATTTCTGAGGTCTCCAGCACATTTCCTATCGATAGTTGATCAGTTTTATCATTACCTTGTGCTAGAGGGCCTGGCAGACATGTATGGGATCACATGTGATTGATACATATATTGATTCTTATTCCTGATTATATCTTGTAACTGAATAAATAATAAGGCTAATTCTGTATCATCTGGTATAAATTCAGCAGTTTCAATACGCAAAACAACTTTCTGCATATTGTGAATCAGTAGCTATGTTGAGAGGTTCCATAAAATCCATTACTACCATGAGAATAGCATATAATTCTGACTTTTGGACAGAATCATAAGGGCTTTGAGCAACTTTACTTAAAATTTCTGGTTTGTGACCTGCTTTTCTTGATTTATTTTCATTAGTATAGAATGTAGAGGCTCCAATTATTGGTGTTTCCTGTATAGTGTGAGGAGGGATCCAGTTAGTTCTCTTTATAAATTGAATTCTCTCTTGCTTTTGGGATATTTGTTGTTAATCTCTCCCAAAAGATTACTGCAAGCTCTTTGCCATAGTGCTCTTTGTGCACATATTTGTCAATTTCATCATTAGTAAAAGGTACTACAATTTCTACAGGGCCTATTCTTGCTAATTGATGAAGTCTCAATTTTCCTTTTATAATCAACTCAAAAACCTTTTTTGTTTTTCTTCAAACCTCTGAAAATCACCTTTCCTATCCATGTACTATGATGGTTATGAGATCCATTCTTCCAGGGGTGCTAATCTTGCCTTTAACAGCCTAATTATTCTTTTGCACTGTTCATTAGAATTTCAAAAGCTAGAGATTCAATTATTATTTGTCTAGCTTCTGAATCAGGTATCATTCTATTTACTGCTGAAATCATTCTTTGTAAGAAATTTGTGAAGGTTTTTTTTGGGGCCCTGTAAATCTTTATTAAATGACTCATTTTTTTTTCTGCTTCTCCAATTCTGTCCCAAGCATTCAAAGCTGCTATGCTACATAAATGTAGTGTATTGTCATCATATAGAAATTGCCATTGTGCATCAATATAATCTCCCTCTCCAGGTAGTTGGTCTTGGAACATTCCCATTCCTCTAGCCCTACTTTGTTGTTCAGTGGTCTTAGCTTCATCCTTCCACCAGGTCCACCACTATAATGGAGGACCAGGCTTTAAGATTGCTTTAACCAAGTCTCTCCAGTCTCAAGGGATAAATCTGTTACAAGTTGGACATGAGTTTCACATCTGATTCACAAAAGGTGAATGAATGCCATACACGACTATCACTTCAGTGAATCTCCTTAAGTCTAACATTTCCATAGGAGTCCATTTAATGCTTGCACAGCCTTGGACATATCTGTCATTTGCCGGTTCCTGTAAAGTAACTGGATAAATTAAAGTTGGTTGTTTGAAAACCTTAGGCTGTTCCTCTCTAACCTTATAATACAACATTGAAATTGGTTCTCCATTAAATTCCTCTGGGCCTAAATATCTCTATGATCTGTTTTATTAAGTTTTTCTAAAAGTTGTATCTTAGCATTCATATTAACCAACTTTTTAGTAATAACGAAAAACTGATAATGTTTATAATTGATATTACATAAGTCCTATCTAAATTAGCTATACTCTCATTTAGTTATTCCATTTTCAACTGCCCATTGTATTATCATACAGATACCTAAATCCCCCCATTATAATAGTGTTTCCCATTTTTTAATGTGGGAAAAAAAAACTTTTTAAAAAACTAATCCCCCCTTTTGAGACTTCCCAATTGTCTCACCAAATCTTCGAAGCAAGATGGTGCACCTTAAAGCTGTGTAGCATGTTTGGTAGGAGAACACAGGTGGTGTACGGCCTGGCTGAGGCCAGGTGCAGCTGCTAGCATGTAGCTGACAGCAGCAGTCTGAGATGGGGTGGGGTCTAGGGAAAGCCTGCAACCCATGTGAGAGGGGAATAAGAGAGAGAAAGATGTGGGGGGGAGGAGGAGACACTGGACATGGGATTGTGTGGAAGAAGCATGTGTGATAGGAGCTGCCTGAAGGCAGAGCCTGCAGGTCTAGGTTGGGTAAGTGCTGTGCCATGTGGAGCCTAAGGGCATGTCCTGTGGTATCTGGAGCCTTTGTGCTTCTGGAGTTTGGGTGGCAGCTGGAGACTGTTTTAGAGAGGCTACAACAGAAAAATCCCTAATTCACTTAGTGGCTTCGGGAAAAAAAGAAAAGAAAATCTAGCTGGATGGGTTGGTAAGTCCAGCAGATGCTCTGTGTGCAGCTCTGACCTGTGCTAATGGCTGTAAAACACAGGCAAGTGGCTTCTTCATGAATTGGCGTCTTTAACTTGGACTCCAATATGTAACACGAGTTCTAATAAGTCTTAATAATAAAAGCCTGGAATCAAATGTTAGGGGGTGAAAGCTGAAAGAGAAGCAGAGCAGCCAACCACTAGGTCTCTTATCTCTACAGAATCCTCAGTCTGAATAGAGACTGAGTTCCTTTCTCCACCCAGCCATCTAACTTCCTGTCTGTACATACCTCCAGACCTCTATGGTTAGCTATTGGCTAGCTCCACCCTCTGATCTTCAGACAAGCTTTATTAGGGTATAAACAAGATATCGCCACAGTCCATCATGACAAGAATTGCACAGAAGCAGAAGCATAAATCCAGCCTGGCAGTCAGAAAGCAGAGAGATCACATTTTATCTGCACACAAGAAACAGGGAGAACAAGAAGTGGAGCCAGACTATAAACTCTCAAAGCTTGCTCGTGATGTACCTCTTTCTATAGGACTTGACCACCTAAAGTTCATAACCGTCCAAACAGTGCCACCAGCTGGGGACCAAGTGTTCAAATATACAAGTCTGGCAGGGTGGAGGGTGGGGGAATTTCTCATTGACATCATCATAGTTGTTATACTTAACCTGTTTCCTCTACTAATTTTTCTCTTGTATAGTACTTGGCAATCTTATATGTATTTATTTAAATATTTAGATATATAAATAATAACTGTTGAAGGTATATATTCTCTAGTAGTGGTTTTTGTACTGCACCAGTTATATTGAAGTTTTTACTATACTAATAGAAATGTAATTTATGAAATAGTAAAAAGACATTGGGCATTTTCTTATAGACAGACCCTATTCTCTATTGAATTGTTTCCTTAATCATCATTCTTTAAAATTTTTTTAAAATCATTTTTAAGTGGTTTTCTTTGCTTAGTCTAAAGACTATGATACTACTTTAAAATTTTAAGAAAATCAAATTACATCAGTAGACCTTTAATTTCTGTCATAATTCAGTAAGCTGTAACAACATAATGCACTTGACAACTTGACAACTGACGAGTATTGTGGTGAATGCCCTCTTGAACTCTGTTGTATTCATATGTCCTTCTTTTGAGAGGAATCTTATTCATTTCTGAACATCATTTCTTTTCTATAGCCACTCCAACTTATGAAATATAAACAGTATTTTGGGAGATATGGGAGGAGTAGAAGGGAGAAGTAGGTAGTATATATGATTGTATTTCCTTGTTTGCATGTACAAAGAATAAAAAATTAAAAACTTGATTATTGGAAATTAATACTTCACAAATACTGATAATATTGTCTCTAGATCAGTGGTTCTCAGCCTGTGGGTTGCAACCCCTTTGGGGGTTTCATATCAGATATCCTTCATACCAGATATTTCATTATGATTCATAGCAGCAACAAAATTACAGTTATGAAGTAGCAATGAAATAATTTATTGTTGGGGGTCACTACAACAGGAACAACTGTATTAAAGGATCACAGCATCAGGAAGGTTGAGAACCACTGGTCTAGATGAAGAACTTTCAATTACTAAAAAATCTTATGTTTCTGTATATGTTCTCAAATATACTATATTAAGTATAACTTTATAATCAGAAGTAAAATAACATTTTTAAACTCAAAAAAGCAATAATAATATATCCAAGTTGTGTTCCCAGTGCTGTAGTATCTAGTAATAAGCTAAGTCCATTGATCCGTGTATCACATCAGCAGGCTGCATAACTGACTTGCTTTAGGCATTATCCTTCATATGCTCTTGGAAATATGAACATAGTCATGAATCAGTAGAATGTGTCAAATAGGGCAAAATTTGTAGATTTAAATTTGGAATACATGCTAATGTTTGCTGTTATTCTTTGTGTATTATTGTTGGGTTTTAAATCATTTTCTCAGTCCCATGTGAAGGTTTCATGCTTTATCTCCATTGCCCCTCAACTGGTAATATATAAGTTATTTGAGAGATTGAAGGTCATTCTGCAAGCAGAAATAGTATTTGCTTCTAACATGTTTCAGGTGCTTGTTACCATTGACATCATTTGTTGTTCTTTGAAACAGATTTTAATTCCATTTGTTCTTGTGATGTGTGCCTTTGAAGCAGTTCAGATAACTACACAGCTGTCATCAAAAGGGTAAGATAAATGCTTATGAAGCCCTGGGTTTCTCCATTTTTCACAAATGTGAGAGAACATTTGGAGATTTTTTTTTTTTTTTTTATGGTGATATCTCCGGAAGTTCCTTTATTTATTTATTTATTTATTTATTTATTTATTTATTTATTTTTATTAGAAAGAAAATTATTTTACATGTCAATCCCAGGTCTACCTGTCCCTCCGCTCCTTCCCTGCTCCCCCAACTAACACCCTACCCATCCCATATCTTTTCTGCTCCCCAGGGAGGGTGAGGCCTTCCATAGGGGGTCTTCAACGTCTGTCATATTCTTTGGGATAGAGCCTAGGCCAGCCCCCTTGTATCTAGGCTCAGGGAGTATCCCTCCATGTGGGATGGGCCCCAAAGTCCATTCCTAGGAATAAGTACTGATCCACTACAAGAGGGCCCATAGATTTCCAAGGTCTCCTCACTGACACCCACATTCATGGGATCTGGATCAGTCCCATGCTGGTTTCCCAGCTATCATTCTGGCGACCAAGAGCTCTCCCTTGTTCAGGTCAGCTGTTTCTGTGGATTTCCCCAGCCTGGTGTGGACCCATTTGCTCATCAGTCCTCCTTCTCTGCATCTGGATTTCAGTTCAGTTCAAGGTTTAGCTGTGGCTGTTTGCTTCTGCTTTCACCAGCTGCTGAATGAAGGCTATACTATGGCATATGAATTAGTCATCAATCTCATTATCAGGAGAGGGCATTTAAGGTAGCCTCTCCTCTGTTGGTTAGATTGTTAGTTGGTGTCATCTTTGTAGCTCTCTTGACTTTTCCCTAGTGCCTGATTTCTATTTAAACCTATAATGTCTCCCTGTATTATAGTATCTCTTAACTTGCTCTCTTCTGTTCTTCCCCCAACTCAACCTCCCTGTCCCATCATGTCTTCCTCACCCCTCCTCTTCTCCCCTTCTCATTCTCCTAGTTCCTTCTCCCCTCCCTCCATGCTCCCAATTTGCTCAGGAGATTTTGTCCCTTTCCCCTTCTCCAGGGGACCATGTGTGTCTCTCTATTAAAATTTGTAACACAAGTTGTGTTTTAAAATTTAGAAATTTTCCAGTTTTAAATTTAAGTTGTCATTAGAGGAAATTGGCTAATTAGGGCCCTTAGCTGACAAATATGCTTCCTCTGCAATAAAACATTAGAATCTTATTCAAGATACTGAAGATTCTCTAGAAAAACATAAATTTTAAATACTTTAGCTAATTATTTTTCTGTTATAGGTATAATGCCACCTACAAAAAATGAAGGGCTATTGTTACAATTTATTTTGGCTTATTTCTTAAAAACATATTAAACACATTTGTTAACACTTTCATTTTGTATGGGATGACATTAACTTTTTTGTATATCAATAATTTACAATAATTTACATTGACAAATGTGTGAGAAAGATTCTGAGTTTTGAGATATTTCTGGAGCAGTCAGTCTTCAGCATTCAGTATTCTGAAAGAGAAGTTGTTAACCAAGGTTTTGTTTTCTTTAACCCATAAAATTACCTCATCAGCACAGAGATTTTCTGAAAAACACTTATAAATAGCACTTTTATAAGTGAATCACACTGGCACAGTCAATGCTAAAAGGATGAATAGTATTAACATAAATTTGCATGTTTTCTTGATGAGCTTAAGCTAAAACTCGGTTTAGCATTTTAATATGTATGCACCATAATTTTTTTAAAAAAAGATTGCCTTCTACTGTTTAGAAATAGTGAAAATCTTATTTCTAGTTCAAAAGAAAATAATCTTTCAGGATATTTACATGAATTTAATAGTGAAAACATATACTCCTTATCAATATCATTCAGTTGACTGTTGCTGTTGCTTAGATGCAATAAAAACTAGTGAGTAGCAAAATGTGCTTTCCTGCATTTCTGCAAGTAGACAAGATTTCTCAGAAGGAATTTTAATTAAGCCTTGTATAAGAAGAACAGGGGGAAATGGGATAAAAACAGAAAGCTCACTGACATGCGTGAATATATACATGTATTTGTGTGCCTGTGTGTGGTAATTCTGTATTGAGAATGCAGTGAAATCCTAAACACATGCAGTGGTAGCAATATCAATGGCTTAAAAAAAAAAAACAAAACAAAAAACAAAAAAAAAACTTCTTTTGACTCTTAAGCCCCTGAAAGGCATTGACATTTCCCCTGTGTAGCAGAAGCTCCCCATGTTTAATATGCCATCCATTCAACTACGTTATTCCAGTAGATTTTTAATCTCTTTTTGGTTTTAAACGTTACCCATCGTAGACGCCAGATTGTGACTTCCCTCTTTGCTTATTTGCTTCCTTACCTCTTGTTCAAGTCTTGCCCTCCTGTCTCTTATCTTCACAGAGACATTTTGTTTCTGTTGCTAAAATTTTAGAATTTTTAAAAGTCTGAGGGATAAGGGAGCTTTGTTTACATTCTGGTTGTTTATTATACTCACACTGCCAAGACTTAAATTGAGTGTAGCACACCAATGTGATGGTTCTACCTACATTTCTTCTTCCCCACTTCTTAAAATATGTATTAGATAAAGTCAGGTAGAAAAGCCATGTTAGCATTATTTGACATCACTTAAAATGAACTTTTCTAATTGTCATTTTTTTGTCTTGTTCCTCAGTCTACATAACTAAGCTCATCATAAAGCCTTGTACATTTTGGGTAAAGGCCGTAAAAGAACATGTAGATTTGAAGGTTATGTGACAAATGATGGACTAAGAATGCTTTGTGTTGTGAGCAATAAAACAAACAGTAAACATGTTTTCTGTTGTGGATAGTCTACTGGGTGCATCTGCAGCCAAGCTGTCCATCCTTCTATTCTTACGTCTTTCTTTTATCTTCCTGAGTTACCTTAGGATATTTTTCACAATTGGGTTCTAATGTATTTGAAAGACATACCTATTACATTGTATCTAATTTTTTTCCTTTATTTTTCAGCCTTTTCCTCATTGTTCTTGTCATATCAGACATCATGGCTTTGGTAAGGCACTTACTTATATCAGTATACATCAGATGAAGAAACTTAGGTTCTGTGTCCATTAAGTTGGGAAAAATATGAATAAATTTCCATATATGAAACATATATATCTATATATCTATATATATATTTATAGTTCTAAGTGATGGCAGTTTACATAGATGTATTACTTTTTATCTTAGTAATGCAGAAACTTTAAGCTGTCAAATTTTTTCTTATTACTGATTTATTTAGGCTGTCATTTTTTACTTGGTTTTTCAGGCTATTCATTTGTGTTTGAAATGAACCTTTCATAGATTAACAGAAGTTAGCTTCAAATTTAGATAATGCATTACTCATTTAAATATTGATTTTTAGTCCTTCCAGATTAAAAAAGAAAAAAGGAGTGAGTGAAGGAAGGAAAATGAAATACAGCTTTATTAATTGGGAAATATTATCAGTTAATATCTATAATCATTGAATTATAAATAAGGAACTTTTAGATAATCTTCTTGTATAAAATATAACAAATATAAAATATAACAAAAACATTGTATCTGTTTTGGGTATTTGGGGAATTCCCATATCTACTCTCAGATTTGGTAATTCTCTAGAAGCCTTCACTGAACTTGCTGAATCTTGTTATATTCTCAGTTGTGGTTTATGTACAAATAAATCAGCCAAAGAGTTCTCCTGTTTCCTTCCATGGAGTGAGGACAGTGTTGTTATCCCTCAGCAGAATGTAACCATACATGTTGAACTGAACATTGCCAGTCTAGGTTTTCTTTACTTTTTAATGAGTTTTGTTCAACATGGCATGCTTAACTGATTATTAATCTCCAGTCCTTTCAAGAGTAGAAGTCACACCATGTGGTTCAAAGATCCCACCATAAATCATATTTTTAGACTGGTAACCAGTGCTGCAGGCAAAATGTTTCATTAGCCATTCCAAGGCCTAGAAATCACCTCCCAGTAGCTGAAAACCATGCCCTTTTAAAGGTATGATTAATACCTGACTATATTAATCTACTAAATAATTTCTCAAATCTGATTGCTGCCATTTGATTTAGATGAGAGCATTTTGTGTTTTGTTGAACTAAATATCTTCTATATTTCTCAAATTGTCCACACATAATTTTAGAACCAAGTCAGCATTTACAACATGACAAATAGGCAAGAATAGACAAGCATTGAAAAATTCTGGTTTCTGGTTGATTTTGTGTGAACAATCAGGTCACTTGGTTTAAGTTGCCAAACTGTTTCTGGTAACACCTTTATTGACTGGCATGGTTTTACATCCCTCCTTCCTTGTTTTCCTTAAACCAACATCATTTTAAAGCTGCTAAACTTGATCTGGCTCTTAGTGTTTAATTCCCTTTGCCCAGAAACAACTTCCTCATCTGATTCTCCAATTTTGTCTTTATCTGACTCCTACTTTTCACTTAGATTTCACTTTGCTCTGTTTCTGTATATCCCAATATAATTGTGCACACATGCATTTACACACCTAATAATTTGAACATTCACTAGATTATGTGTGTTGTGAGGAAGTTATCTCTAGAACCTGGCAATGACTATTACTAATTCATAGTAAACAGTGCCAGTGAATGTTTGTAGATCAGGTGATGTGGTTTCAGTTGTATCTTCTCTTTGACATTTTTAAAATTTTTATTGGAGTTGAGTGGTTTTATTTCTTACTATTCACAAACATCATTTTGTATTATTTGATTGAATCTTAATTCCATATGTGGCATTTGGGCCATTGCTTATTATTTTAATACAAACAGAAGTTGCAGTTAAGGGCATGTTCTTGTGAATTCTGGGCAGAAAATGATGTTTATATATTGAAGCTAAATGGTCTTTGTTTTTAATGGAGTCATACTGTATTATCTTTTACAGCATTTTTTCTTCTTGGTCAAGGATTCTGGCAGCTGGCTTGATATTGGAACCAGGTATTGTACATAGTCACACTGACTTCAGTATCTTGGTATGGGTACCATTATGACTTCAGGCAAGTACAGGAAGTAGCATAGATTTTAAGGCTCTGAGATTAGACGCCTTTTTTCTAATTCTTGGTATGAACACACTGGCAGGGATTTTCATGGGATGCTGTGGGAGAGGAGGATGGATGTTTAGTCTGGAGAGAAGTGGGACCACAGAAAGATATAAGAGGGATTCATGAATCTGGAATCTCAATGTAACTCTCCGGTGTCTTCCTGTGTTCTTATAATCTCACAATCACTTCTTGGAAAAACAAAGCTATTCAGACTTCACTGTGAATTTTATGTGTTGGTTTAAATTTCATACCATCGTTATCTGCCTTGTAGAAGCCTTAAGGGGACACTGTACCACACTGTTACATAAAGCATAATCTGAGCGAGTCAGCTTCCTCTTTTTCCTGTGATCTGATTATCACTTGAAGTAATCTGTTTAAATTCTTCTTCCTGAAACGAAAGCAAAGTTGTTCCTCCCCTTCCCACCCCAAAGGTTTCTGAGACAGAATATGTTTTTATAAGCTTATTTTAGTTAATATTAATCACACTTTGAGCTTCTGGAAATTTGTGTGGGCTTATGTAAGACTGTGCATTAGACACTTCTCTCAAAACTCCCAGTTTGTACCTGTCTCCATTTTCAGGCACATTGGATGCCCTCAGACCTGGGATCTGATGTGAATCTACATAAGAATCTAGGCCTAATGACAGGTTTCTAATGCACATATAAGCAACACTAATTGAAATTTGTGGGTCATAAAAAGAAAGTGGATATGAATTTAGGAGAGAGAGCTGCATGAGAAGGGAAGATTAGAAGGAAGGAAATGTGAATATATATATGATCATAATTCATTATTATATACAAATATGTGTAAAGCAAAAAGCCTGGCACAGTGACATGTGTCTTTAATTGTAGTGATGGGGAGGCAGAGCTGGGGGATCCCTGGGACTTGCTGGGCAGCTAATCTTATGGATTCTATGAGTTCCAGGTTCAGAGTGAAACCCTGTCTCAAAAAATAGTATAGAACAATAGAGAAACACATCCAACACCAGCCTCTGGCCTCTGCACATACTCACACATATATGTACGCTTACTCACATGCACATGAACATGTACACAGAGACTCAAACACACACACACACACACACACACACACACACACACACAGAGACAGAGAGAGAGAGAGACAGAGACAGAGAGAGACAGAGAGAGAGAGAAATACACATAGCTCTATGACATGGCCACTCAATTTCTAGGTATTATCTAAGAGAAGGAAAAATGTGCACAGAATGATTTGTATAGGAATTTTTATAGTGACTACTTGCCATTGAAAATAAATGAATGCTAGATTGACTCAGCCTTGTAGACAGAGCTTAGAACTGCAGTGAATGAAAGAAACAGGGTACACAGTGTATTGTTTCCACTTATATAAAATTGCAATCTATAGCTCTATAAAGAGAATCAATGGTTATGGAGGTCTGAGGAATGTGGGGCTGATTCAGAGGAGCATGTGGGAGCTTCTGTGGGGATGGAAATGTTTTCGATGTCTTAACAATGATGATGGTCACATGAGTGTACCATTTGTCAAAACTCAGCTAACTGGTCACTTAAAATACTCTATTTTCTCACATGGAACTTTTATCTTAATTGATAAAGAAAAACAACTAAGATATCTAACTGAAATTGAAATAAACATGACATAATATAAATTAAATCTTCTCTCCTAGCAGGGTCTTAAATTCCTTTTTTTTTTTTTTTTAATGCTCAATGAACAGAAGCATGATGATACTACTGATTCATGCTAGGGAGATCACTATCCTTTAGAAGATCTTACAGAGAGAACTAGAATTGCTGTTCTGAGAAGTGAGAAAGAAGGAATGAGATCTTTACTCTTCACTGTCCCTTTTTCTCATTCTGCTTCCTGGTATTCCATTTCCTGCTGGAAATGAAAAGGAGAGTGCTTAGATGGCACTGGAGTCAGGATCAGAACTCTGTGTCTGGATGACTCTTTGAAGCTTAATTAGAGATGGGGGGAGACATATGTGCAGCATTTGCAAGGGGATGCCTTCATACCTCCTTGTGAAGAGATTTTATTTTCATTTCACATAATAAGGGATATGAGGAACATTGTAGTTGGAAGGCGTGAACATCCCTGAATTCATCCAATCCAATTATCCCTTGTCAGATTAAGTTTCTGAAGGCAATTTGAGGAGTCCAACTGGAGTGCAGAGAAATGCCCTTGACTCAGAGTAGGGTTGTGCATTACAGTTCACATCCCATCTACCCAAAATTGGTCATTTGGAGTGTGCCTCCTCAAAGGCAGTATAGTGGCTGTTCAGAAGCCAGGAGTCCATTTAGCACAGGCCAAGTAAAAACAACAAAACACTCACACTTGAGTTGAAAGTCCAAGATGTCAGTCAGAGGATTTCACCCAGTCACACTTCACCAAAATAACTATACTTATATTATGCTGTTATTTGCAGTATCTCCCAACAGGTTATCCCAACACAGAGAAGTTGGTGTTACCTTATCCAGCAGATGTATTTACTGCCTCCATCTGACTCTGGCACCCTGGAGAGATTGCAATTGGCTTATGCTATAGGGCCCATAAATAGTTGAGCTTAGCGGCAGCACTTCAGTGGTAGAGGCTCTGGTTTTCTTACTGCTCCCTCTGTCTGGACTTAAAGAGAATTTTCCAGAGGGTGTGTTTTACAAAAGCAAACAAACATGGGACTTTGAGCTAGCTGCAGTGACTATCTCAGTTACCGTCAACCTTGTGGTGTGAAGATTGCAACTTTGGTGACAGTTTCCACTCAAACTGTGGTTCAGAACTGAGTGAAAGGGGGCTGCAGGTGCTAGCTTGGTGTTAGGATACTTGTAGCAAGCACAGGACATGATTCATGCCCCAGAGCTGTTTAGAAAAGGTGACTTTGTATCTAATGGTGTTACAATTTACAGAGGGACCATTCACTAAGTTTTGAACTGTATAAATTAGGGGTTTAAGTGAGAAAGAATCGCATATCTGGATCATATAGTGATGCTGGTTTTAGTTTGGGGGAACATTTGTACTGATTTCTTAGTGACTATATTAAGTTAGCTTTCTAGCTGTGCTGTGGTGGCGCATGTCTTTCATCCCAGCATTTGGGAGCCAGAGCAGGCAGATTTCTGTGAGTACAATGCCAACCTGGTCTACAGAGTGAGTTCCAGGACAGCCAAGGCTACACAGAGAAACCCTGTCTTGAAAGAACAAACAAAAAAATTATCTTTCTATTAACAGTTTATAGAGAATCCTTTTCCCTCACATCCTCACTATTTTTTTTTTATCTTCTTGATTAAAACTATCTGACTAGGAGAGAGAGAATCTCAATGTCATTTTGATTTGCATTTCCCTAGTGGTCAATGGAGCTGAACAGTTATTGTAGATTGTTCTTTGAGCCACCTTTGCAGTTTACTAGCCCGCTTGCTGATTGCTTCACTTGTTCTTTTAGTGTTGATTGTTGATTTCTTTTTGTGTTGTGGGTATTAATACTGTATTGGCAGAAAAGCTAGTGAGAATTTTCTCCCGCTCTGTAGGCTTTCTCTTTATTTTCCTCTTTGCTTTGCAGAAGCTTTTGAATTGGCTGAAAGCCCATTTGTTGATTTTTGCATATGTTTTACTGAGCTCTGCAGTCTTATTCAGGAAGTTCTCTATGCCTAAAGCCAGAAGTGTTTTCCCTGCATTTTCCATTGGTAGTGTCAGAGTTCCAGGTCTTGCATTAAAGTTTTTGGCCCATTTGGAGTTAATTTTTGTCCAAAATGATAGAGAAATTTGGTTTCCGTCTTCTGCATGAAGTTATCTGGGTCCATTTGTTTAAAGACTGTTGAAACACAGTCTAAGAATAGAGTCGTAAGAGGGGACTGAGTGCTTTTGAGAAAACTCCAAGAGGACAAGACAATGGTCTTGTAACCTCAGTTTCCATAAAAACAAAATTGAGCCAGTTGGTGGTGGCATATACCTTAATCCTAGTACTTAGGAGGCAGAGGCAGGCATATCTGGTGAGTTTGAGGCCAGCCTGGTCTACAGAGAGAGTTCCAGGACAGGCAGAGCTATTACACAGAGAACTCCTGTCTCAAAAATAACCAGATAGATAGATAGATAGATAGATAGATAGATAGATAGATAGAGGGATAGAGCCACAGAATCATTCTTGGAATGTTTTCAGACCCCTCCCAGGTGTAATGAATAGGAGTGAGTTTATTTATTACATCTGGGTATTTCCATTTGTTTATATGCATCTATGGTAAAACACGTTTTTGTCATGTGCAGCTTGTCCTTGTGATTATATACAACTTAAACTTGAGAGAACTGTACTCAGGTGACCTTTCTTAATCCTCAGGTTATAGATTGTCTGATGCTCTGAATAAAGTTGGTTGTCATATGAGACTTTAATTTCCCTAAATTTTAGGCTCCATTCTCCAAGGTCCAACTGCCAACTAGAGTGATAAACAGCTGTGTTTCTTTCCTAATGTATGTTTTTAACATCTTATTAAGAATTAGAAATCACCGGGCAGTGGTGGCGCACACCTTTAATCCCAGCACTCAGGAAGCAGAGGCAGGCGGATCTCTGTGAGTTCAAGACCAGCTTGGTCTACAAGAGCTAGTTCCAGGATAGCCTCCAAAGCCACAGGGAAACCCTGTCTCGAAAAAAAAAAAAAAAAAATTAGAAATCAAGAATTGTATAGGTCTGCGTCTGGACCTGCTTTTCCATTCTGTTGGTCTGCTTTTGTGCAAATGCCATGCTTTAAAAAAAGAAAAGAAAAAACCAAAAACAAACAACTATGGGGGGTTGGGGGGAGGAGAGGGAGAGGGAAAGGGAGAAGGGATTGACATGTGAAGCAAGCTTGTTCATAAGTTGAACTAATAGAAAAAAAGATACCACAGCACACAGTTTTGTTTATCCAAACTGGAACATTGGGCTAA